AATCCTGTTGGTCTGGGTAAAGATGACTGTACATGAACAGATTCACGTACCGCATCATCGCGGGATCGCGGGTTTCAACCTCACTCACAAGCGTCTGAAAGAATTCCGCATCTGACCATGCAGCCTGGCTCGCCTGGCTCTGATGACCAGTCCCTAGAAGTATACGATAAAAAAGTCAATGAATATTAAACCAAATAATGTATTTTAATAGAAAATTATAAATAAAACATTAACCTTAAATTACCTGGCTCTAATATCTGTAGCGTTCTCCAGAACTGGTGAATCATTCCGAGATCAATCGGAATGTTGAAATCAACTGCGTTACGGAGCAGATAGGCACAAGGAAGTCCATGAGTGAACTGTAATACACAGCCGCAACTAGTGTAAACATCGGTGTCCAAGTCGATCATCCTCGTAAGCTCAACGTCCAATAAACTCAGACAGTAATGCGAGACCCTCAGTATCACGCTCGCGAAAAGGATTCCCTTATACCGTGTATTCTTTTTAGATCTCGAGGCCTCAAGCGCCGTCCTGATAATACGTTACATAACATTAGATTATAATTAATTAATGCAGTAATATAATAACGCATTTAAAAATTGCAGTACATACTTGATTTCAGTCACTTTATTATCGATGTGCTTATTAATCTTCTGTCAAATTGTATCGAGCGCGCCGGTGGACGTCTGAAGCCACTCCTTCAACACAGAGTGGGCACTCTCCACCCTACATGAAGTTGTGTTTCCAAAATGTGTCACTCGGTTGGTCCAAGCCTTCACAAACTTCTCGCGGTGCCCTAACCATGTGCCCTCCACATACCGTATCACCTCTGGAGACTTCGAATATTTTGCGTGCAGCTCGGCAACGGCATCGGTGTAGGCATCAAACGTACTGGCCTCTGCAATCGCCTTCCACGTACTGTGCGTGAAAATCTCCTAGAATTTTTTACTCTTCCCAAATAGTTTGTAGGATTTGTCTTCCACATCCTTGTTGATGTGCCACGTGCAGAGTAAGTGGGCTGATTCAGGAAAATGCCTCTGAATAGGAGTGAGTAAACCCAACTCTCTGTCACTGACAACAACATAAGGATATACGTCTTGGCCTATCAGTAGTCTCAACTTCTCTAGAACCCAGTCGTAACTGGCCTCTTTCTCGTCCCTGATGAACGCATATGCAATTAGGAAGTTCTGGTTGCACGGTGTCATCCTAATCATCTCGACCAACGGAATCTTGTACCTGTGCAAATGAGACCAAGAAGACAAAAATATAATAAAATAAAAGTTTACTTAATCAAATACACTATTTAAGATTCATACTACTAAAGTATTTATAAAGTAACATACCTGTTGGTTTTATACGTGGAATCTATGCCGACATACCAGTGATATGTCCGGAATAGATTGATCGACGCAGGATGAGCCATGAATTTCAACGCTTTCGTGTTCGGATCGGATTCTGCATAAACTGTATACTCGCTGCTCACGGCCAAATGCATAATCTGGGAAGATACGTCTCTACCGTCGAAACTCTCTTTCCGCAGATTATCTCTAAAGTTATATACCTGTCACCGATTAACGTTAATTATAATGATTATTATAATTTAAAACAAAAAAATTATTATATTAATAAATAAAAAAGTATATTAATGCGATTAATTTGATAAAATTACTAATTATCCTAATTAACTTCAAAAAGTTAATTAAAAACATATATTACAAGATATAAATATATATACCTGTCGCACATGAACGTTGTCTCCTGGATTCTTTTCCTTCAGCGCGGCCATAATTTTTGCCGGGGCCACCTGAGCGTCCGTCATATCACGAACAATTTCTTAGATGAAGCGCTGAGGCCGCTCAACTGGCGATGACCCTCAGGATACACAGCAAATGTATGGTTATGGTAGCCATTCTCTTCATTGCTACATCTACAGATCCTCCAGTATGGAGCGCCGGACACCTTTTTTACTTTGATCTCAAAATTGCAGCCGTACTTATTTGTTTTTGTCTTTCTAGAATTTCCGCCTATGCCTCTGTACCGTTCGCCTCTATGGCACTTCAAAAGCCTGACCGTTTTCTTTTTGTGGCTCGAAATTATTAATAGGAAACCATTCAACATTGCCTGGTGTTTTGCAGCTTCAATAGCGTCCTGAGCACTATTAAATAATGTACAGGTATCGAAACGCAAACTGTAATCAACACCATCTCCTCCAAAATCTTCCCATGACTCCTGCTATATAGTACAATATTTATATTTTAAGACAATGTTAAATTAAGATAATTAATTCTAGCATGTAACATAATAATTTGTAACTCATAACATCATATTATCTAACGTCCAATTTATAGCATAATGAAGTTTAACATGTAACACAATAATTTGTAACTCCTAACATGATCACGATAATATCTAACGTCCAATTTATAATATAATCAACTATAACATGTAACATAATAATTTGTTACTCCTAACACGATACTATCTAACGTCAGTTTATACATAACCAAGACTAACATGTAATATAATAATTTTTAACTCGTAACACGATAATATCTAACGTCCAATTTATACCATAATCAACATGTAACATAATAATTTGTAACTCCTAACACGATAAACGTCCAATTTGTAGCATAATCAAGTCTAAAATGTAACATAATAATTTATAACATAATAATATAGTTCAATTTATAACATAATTATTTCGAATATATAACATAATAATTTAAAAAATAAATAAATAAATTTTGTCCGGCTGGCCGAACCGGACGGATTGGTTCCGACCGGCTGTCGTTTTCAAGCCGTCCGGCCGGACATAGCCCGTCCGACCGGCCGAACTAAAAGCCGTCCGGTTCCGACGGTCGGACACAAAAATTTTCGTACCTCCGAATTTGACGACATTTCACCATACACTTTTCTCTGAGATGTTTAGAAAAAATGAAAAAGGCAAAATCGTCCAAGGGGGCCGGTGAGTAGTAAAATGGGGAGCGGTAAATAGTAACACCCTATCTTTATAACAGTAATAAAATTATTTTTTAATATTAATTAGAAAAATAAAATTATTTATCAATTAATATATTTATATTTCAAGTAGTTATATGATATAAGTTACAAAAATTACTCTAATATAACACATGTAAATCGCACAAGTAACAAATGTCATTCTAAAATATATAATAATACATATATTTTTGACTGCGCGTCGCGACACGGTCAAAATATAATATTTATATTTTCCTTAACAGACTTCTACCAACTAGTAGTAGTAGTGAGCAAGGGTCGATCCCACAGGGAGTGTGAATCAAATCGTGAATTTTCTCGTATTAATTGAATTATAAAAGCAATAAAAGAGGGGGGATTTTAGATTTAATAACTAAAATAATTAAAATCCTAATAAAATAAATAAAATCTAAACAAATAAAATAAAAATAAAAATAAATAAATTAAGAGAAAACTTCTAGTTCACGGTTCCGTCTACACCCTCGACTGACTCGTCTAATCAATTTTAGTATCAAATCTCGTTATCTCATGAAATTACTAGCCCTAGGTAACGACACGGTCTGTTACCCGAATTTTTCCTTATTTTTAATTTAACCGCGAGACGCTCGACGATTAAACCTGACTTCTTGTACAGTCTAGAAAAACGTTTTCAAGATTTAATACAATTAGCCGCTTTACGATTTAGAAAAATAGGCTAGACTAATTAGTGAACTCAACCGCGTTCGCTCACTTAATTAGGCCGTGTTATCCCCGGTAGTTACCATCTTCCGGTTACCTCTTATGAATTAAACACAACAACAATTATGGATTACAGGCCTAATTCAGATGTAGATATGAAAAGCCTAATCTAGGTGATCAATCTAAACAAGACTAACACATCATGGTGAATTATTCAAAATAACACAAACAATTCCAAAAAGACAACTCAATAATCAACCATGAAAATTAATCAAACATCATCAAGTCGTAGGGTTCGACATCCCCGGAACTAGAAATAAAAATTACTCTAACATAATAATAAAAATAAATAATAAAAGAGAAAAGAAAGAGAATAAAATTCTCCCTCGTGTGTGGGTGCGGCCTCCCTCCGCGATTGTTGGATTCCTCGCGTCTGATTCTCTGTTCTCTGCCTTCGCGTGAATACTTCTGATAGTGGCTGCTTGAATCCCTCTATTTGCGTGAATGTCCCGCAAAATCAAAATCCCCCAGCCAAATAAATAGTCTTTAAATTGAATCCTGCCCTTTCAATGTTTTCAATTAAGTTAATTGCCCAAAGTTGGGCTTAATTAACTCATGCATTCGATATGTGGGCTTAGTAATTGCCAGCCTTTTAATAGACTTTAATAATTGGGCTCTTATCAATCAATCATAAATCTTGGGCCCAAAAGTGTTGGTATTGAGGCGAGTATGGGGTGTTGTTGGGTCAGTACGGGGTAGTCGGGACGCCCCATATTCTGTCGGTCGGAACTTCCGTTTAATATCCCGCCGTCCATAAAAGTAGCCCAATAGTCTGAAAATAATGCACAAAAATATCATAGCACTCATATCCATCTAATAAATAAATAAGTCGAAAAACATATAAGTGCGATAAAAATGAAGCATATATTTTGTAAATATATAAAGATACACACTTTCCCCACCAATCAATTTTGTAAAAAAATAAATAAAAAATTTAAAATAATTTTCCTCATTAATTTTAAAATTTAAGAATAATTTTTTAACAAACACTAGTGTAATACACGAATGTTGTACTAGTATGTGATTAATGGTCAACTACATATATTTTTCTTCGCATTACTTGAGTTACCCCAAATTATATACTAATATTCGATCATGTGCACTGTACACATGCACATATACAAATAAAATTTTATATATTATATGTGAGTGTATGTAATATTTAAAATCATAAGTTAAATAATGAGCATGTATATATATATAAGAGAATGACCATTTGCTAAAAATAGTAGCAAAAAAATATTGGAACATTAAATATATACTTTATTTGAAAACTTTTAAAATATCTGTATTAATTGCTTCCAAGATTTCTTGTTGATCTTGCCGGTGCCATCTCATGTTCGTTCAAGGGCCCAATCGAGGGCCAACATTACTTTTTTCTTTTTTAATAAAATCCACCATTAATGGCAGTCCGAGCTCGAAACTTGAATTTTCCAGCAGCTAGAGAGTCGAAGAGCTGCGGGGAGGAAGATGTGGAGGAGATGGTTAAGGCAGAGCTGGCGCCGACGATCGAGCGCGGCTGGGGAAGAATGTAACCTAGCCTTTTTAATTTTTATTTTTCTTAAGAAGCACCTGTCCAAATTTCGCGAGATTCAAAATTCTTCGTAATGTCACAAAGCCTTTTTATTTTTCTTTTTATTTTTCTCCCCTTCAATTTTTTCAATCTTGAAACCTCAATTACAAGTTAGAAGTTAGAACAAGTTACATTCACAACTTGCTATAAGGCGAAGGCAAAAAATGCATCATACTCGTAGCTTTTTTAGCACTCGCAACCAGCATCACGTTCCAGGACTATCCTTCCATTTACAAAACCGAATTTATAAACCGATACTCGTTTAATAAGACGGGCCCCCACAAGTCACCAAGCATCGGAAGATCGCTGGGGATTGACAATTACCTTTTTAGGCTTCCAGTCAGATTCTTCACGAGGTTGTCTTAAGGCAACAAACTGAAGAGCATCACTGCTCGTTTGATAAATATGGCATGCCCACGGATACGAGTCTGGGGCCCACCAAATCTTTTGTTCTTCAAATGTTGTCTCCTCACACAGAGATTCAGCTACACAGTACACTGAGTCGACCTCCGGCTCTTCAAAGCTCGGCACAGCTACACATCCGACAGAAAAGTACCCCTCGGGTGCACGAGGATGCCAAATTGAGACAGGACTCTTGTAGTCATCCACACAATTTCTCCAGACCTGCACGCACAGTAAAGAATAGAAATATCGAGATAACGCTATTGAACTCTGCAAACGGAATTAGTAAGAATGTTTATGGTGCTATTGAAACAAATGGATTTGTTTTTGTTCCTTCAGAGGATTTTGTTCACGATTGTTCCCTTCAATCTCATCAATGTAGTTATTTAAAAGTAAAACACAAACATTACTTCATATTTCCCAACAAATTCAATATTGACCCACTCACATATTTCTAATTATCTATATGTTTCAATCATTATTTTATGATTTTGTATCACATCAATCATTGTCATTTCACGATCTTAAATATTTCAATTCTCTTTTTTTTTATCCTCAAATTACTATAGTGTCAAACAAGATAATTTTTCCGAAAATTCCATATCCAATCGCAGTAAATCTTCAAGGATTTTCTTACCAGGTCATAACCCACTGGGGGCACAAACAATTCCTCAGAATTACGATATATTGAAGCAACTGTAGGAGGATGACAGCCACAACGAGCTACATCCCCAATTGAGACATACCTGGAAAGTATTAGTTACAGTATTAGTGAAGGGTGTTGATGTTGGTAATATATCCTAAAGGTAGTGGGCTTTCAGGGGTCATTCAATTCTCACCCATCAGGACAAACTGGCCGCCAGATGCTACAAATTTCGCCACTTTCCAAACCCTATAATATCAACAAAAGGATTTTTGAGATGATATATTTGATATTGGGGCATCTAAACAAGTAGGACTATTCCCGTCGAATATAGTTGATATCACTCACCTGTTTTCGGCACAAAGAGCACCGACCTTTGGACTCTCGCTCACTGCTCCAAATCCTAGTAAAGTTGATACTGTGCTCGGCAAATTTTTGTTCGGTCAAAATAGAACTCGAACAAGAAATTTCAGCTGAGGTGATAATGGCTCTGTGCTGTTTGTGAGATTCTCTGGCATCTACATCACTCCATGTAAATAGGACATGCCTTTGGCTTGAGGGCAACTGTGACAGAGAAAAGATATTATGACATGATATATGCAATTCACAGAAGATAAGATTAGTTTCAAAAACCACCCTGAGGTTTAGCTTTATCACTACAACCAGTTAAATGACACCAAAAAGTTTTGTTAGTTGGCTAACCATCTAGGATAGCTTTTTCCAATTATCCATATATCGATTTACATCATCTGATGGATAGTTAAGGACCTGTTTCAGATTATTCTGGTGTGCCTTCCACATCCTATATACGACTGAGCAGATTTTGACGGCTTGTGATTCACTTTCCTCGGGCAATTTTTCACTGCTGCACTTTATTACTCTGACAAAGCTCTCACCTCTCTTGAAGCATTTCAGATGAATGATTAAGTGAGAAGGGATAGGATGGCCTGCTTTAGCAAGTTCCAGTGCCATGATTTCTTCCCATGGTACATCCCACAATATTTTGCAGGGCTTTTTATCCATCTTATCCGGGGCCACACACTTCCACAGACAAAAGGATGACAACTGTTAATGTAAAGCCAAAGACGAGGAAAATTTAAATAAGAGAAGACAAAGTATCCAGAAAATACCTGCAGCAGCATCACTCGCCTATTAGTCACCAAAACAATGCGCTGATAGGGTACCGTAAAATGCTCTTCAAAGCAATCCGACCAGGCAAATTTTGATGGCTCTTTGAATATTTGTGTGCACCCAAAATTCCGACTGGCTTCTGCAAGGTAAAGTATCATCTGAAGCAGAAAATCACAGATCAGATTTTTCCAACTTGATGAGTTGAGGCCATACGTGACAGATAAACAGAGAAACAAAGTTGAACTTCTCCAAATTATTAGCAATTTTCAGTTATGATAGGCTACATCTGGATCCACCAGGATCTAAGAAAATAGCTAGATATTATGATTTCCTCTGCTGCAAAGATACATTACTAAAACTATCTATCAGGCTTGCTACAGCGAGAAAAAAGTCTAGTTAGTTAACTACAGTCCAAAGATGGAACAATTACATATCCCCATGCAAATGCACCAGAATTATAAGTTATATACAACATTCGAATGTAACAAATTTTAAAGGAAGTCCATACCTGACCAAGTGCTTCTCTTTCAGAATACTCTCTTAGTACATGGTCAGCACGAAATGCCCGTGGATTTCGTATCCTTTCGAAGTCTCTTTTGTTATTAAGAATCTCTAAGCACCTGGAGCAACTTGCACCAATCCCATCAACAGTCAAAGAAAAAAAATCTAATGCTCCACTCACTGGCTGTACGAAAAATCCCAGGAAAGCTTGTCCAAGCCCATGGGCTAGGCCAAGAAGACCATTTTGCCTAGCATTCTCCATTGGTTTCCGCACTACCCCAGAGACTCCAAAAGCAACACCTTGTGCAAGAGCTTCAGTTCCTTGTGCAAGTCCATCACCAACACCAGTAATCCTTCTTGACCACACCTGCTCTCAGTAGTCAAATGAGTGAAAATTCAGTGTCCAGTTAGAAGGCAAAAACTACACATAAGCTCAGTATCAATATGAGTGAAAATTCAATGCCCTTTAGATGGAAAAAAATAAGGAGTCAATATTACCTGCTTTGAGCGGAGCTGCAGAAATTGTCCATCAGTTGAGAGCTCAGCAAAACCTTTGCTAAGAGAAGCCAAGGTGGAGCTTGTCATGCCGAGAACATCAACGGAAAAAATTAAATGTAATGGATTATGGATAAGATCTCTCCAAATGCGGTTTCCAATGTCAGAAATCACAGAACTCTGGCGCAGAAATCTGTCTCTGTGTGTTACTTTCCGAAGATGAACCTGAAATACAGAAATTAGAATCAACATCACTTGTGCTGATTCATGAGTCATGATTCATGTTCCTCAATGCTGCTTCTGAAGGAAAATAGGAAATATTTGAGAGATATCGCAACATTACTTATTTAATATCAAGTGCACAAACATATTTCAATACCACTAATATGACAGCAAAAAAAAAATCTACTAATGTTTAAAATTTTACATATGATTGGAAGACATAAAGAGAGGACAAAGCACAGAGTGGTTTTCGAGAAACGATACTTTTTTTCCTATTAAATGTCAAAATCTTTCAGTTTATGGGAAGTCCATAATAAGGAAATAAATGTACGCCTTTTAGCTTCCCCAAATCATTAAGTGTATTTCTCTATTGATATGGATATTTTCAAATATACATCAAATCAAACTTCTTACTCAGAAAACCCCCAATTACCAAATAAACTATCCTTAATAAAGTTGAAAGCTAAACAGCCAAAGTAGAAAAGATAAGGAAACCTATATCATGATAGGAAGACCAGCAATTCAAGTAAGTAAAACTGTAAAATCCAGTCCATTCATGCGTTAGAGCAACCTCAGACCTGAATTTTAAATGTGTTCCCAACAGCTGAAAGAACCGGACCCCATACACCCAGAAGTCCATGAGGTCTTTGAGCAGGGGCTGTCTCTAGAGAAACCTTCAGTCGTACCTCAGAAATGTCGATCAAGCTGAATTATAAGGAAAGTATTTGGTCAATCCTTTATCTAATAATTTATTCATTTGTGTGAGGAAAATGCATGAGAAAACTATCCTGGCTAGTCACGAATCGGAGGGATTATCTAATATCCACCAACATAAAATATGATATTCCTGGATATCAGAGGATGTAAAGTACAATATAAAAAATTTACATATTTTGGAATCAAGATCACATACAAGAATCATAAAGACGACGAGAGAACCATTGCTGCAAACCATCGTAAAAAGTAAAATCAAGAATGTGGAGTTGAAGATGAGTTTCGTTGTGATTTGCAAATTTATTTTAACTTAAGGATACTTACTCCACACGTATTTCAGGATCGACTTGAGTGACCTGGGAATTTTGAGGAAAGCGATCTAGTTGGAGATTATTGTAGAAATCTACCAGAGCCCAGATGATTGGTTCATGGATACTAAGCCTCCAACTCTTATCAATTACCTGTAAATTACCACATAGATTAGAAATACTATGTGAGATTACAATTCTTATGAGACTTGAGTTCAATTTTGAAGTTGAGATATTTCTGGAGACATTACTCGTATATAAATATATGGGTAGATCTGAAGACCATCAAGGTTTTCATTGCGTATGGTTATAGTCATCTTAAACACTGGATGATGCACATCAGGTGTCTGTTCCGGTGCCAGAAGGACAGGCATAACTGTCAGAGGTAGCTGATTGTCTAGCTGCAGGTAACCAAGGACAAGCTTGAACCTGACAAGGAAAAGCAAATAGCACACAACCAATCAGATTGTCATGTCAGCACTTCAGTTATTTGGAAATTTGCTGCTTACAGATTGTGGTAAAACAACTGTTAGCTATGGACGGAACGAGTGACAGATTGCTTAAGAAATCAGGTATGGCTTCATAAGTTTATAACTTATTCTGTAAAATCAGGAAAAATCAATTTAAAAGCAACAATCTCACGACCAGAAGCTGTGAAGAATCACTGCGTTTGTCTTAATTTATAATCAAACCTATTATGTAATATGTTGTGAGTAATTTCTTTTGTCTTGTTAGAAGTTATGTTTGTCTCAAATCGACTAGTTACTGGGCTGTTATTGTGTAAAGTGTGGGTTGGGCACCCTCTTCCTCGGAGCTAGCTTTGGGGATGAGTTCTAACCAAGACCATTTATCATATCTAAATGGGATAATCCCGTTCAACAATAGGTCACATATCATAAGTTCTCGTCTATACATAGACACACCCATGCATAATTCCAAAGAATCTGTTATAGTGGCTATCTGCAGTTGTTGGCCAAGTGATAGAACCGCACAACTTTTTTTTTTTCAATTCCTGCTTCATGATTTATCCAGTCTAAGTTGATAGCTCCAAAAAGAAACCAAATGTTCCTAACCATGTACCCAAGAATGTCCAAAACAATGTTGATAGCACAAAACATGCATTTGCATGTCAGAGTGACAGAGTTGTGATTATTTTTTCAGTTAAACTATTAGAATTGATCAAAAAGTGTCACATACAATATCAAGTAACTGAACATGTTTCTGTAAGTCCTTCAGAGATTACAACATTCAGGAGACAACATAATATTTAACAAAACCAGGTGCAAGAAGCATTCTAACCTGCTTGTTGTCCCACTATCATAGCCAGCCGAATATGAAATAAACAATTTCTCCATGTAGATGTAAGCAATCTCTCTTGGTCTATGGTCTACAATAGAAATACCAATAACGCCAAGCTCAACTACAAGTTCCAAAGGTGATTTTTGATCAGGGTCTGGCATCTTAGCCTGGATACGAGTGTTTCCCTGATTCCCCTCCAGCATTAGAGATCCACTCGCTTCTCTAGATCTTGGAAGTAGTCCATGAAGATCAACGAATTTAACAACCTTAATGTCACCTTTGTTCACAACATGGAGAAATAAACTAGAGTACTCATCAACTGAGGAGAGCCCTGCTTTATCCAAATCAAACTTGTAAATCCCAATATCATCACCAGCATAGACTTCAACATCAATAACTCTTTGGCCATATGGATCTTCCAAACAAAAGTTTGCTGTTGAAAGTGGCTCTAAAAGAATCCATGCATCATCGCCAAATCCAGCTTGCCGAACCCTCATGGCCTTGTTCATTGTTCTGTTCTCAATCCTGTAAAGAGAAATTCATAGTTGATACAGAAGAAAGCACAAAAACCATAGAAGTCTTGAATAAAGTAAATATCAATGTATTCTTTTCATGCCTGAAGTGGGCTAACCTAAGTTTTGATGTGATATAGGTACATAAACACATGTTATATCAACTACACAACACCGTTTCAGGACAATTCTGACAATTTTCATACAATAGTTCGCTGAAGGAAAATTAATGGGACAAAACATGATCATACAAACTGAAGAAAACAAGGTGTACTCCATAAAAGAAAGGATAAATGACAGTAAAATCGGGTCTACCAGTCGACAAGATTCTTTCTGGAATTGGGTAAAATTGTTAAGCTGAAGAGTAGAAATTGCCACAGGCAAGGAAGAATTGGAGAGAGACACAAGGAAGCTACATTGATATGGCCAAATAAAATCTCGTGCTGGAGAAAGACACAAGGAAGCTAAACTGATTTAGCCAAAGAGAATCTCTCATTTCGGCAACAGACTCAGATCATACTTTCTTAAGGGTATAGATCTATGCTAATTAGAAGCAGCTATCAATCCACAGAAAGAAAGCAGGCAAGTAGAAGCTGCACATGTAACAGAACAGCCTGGTCGTAGGTGGGCAGAAGAGTAGCAGTGACAGCTATTAAAGACCAGGAGCCTTTTTTTTTCTTACATTTGTTTTGTCTGTCCTTTAGAAATTAATTCTCCTGCCTTCACCGTTCTTTAATTATTTATTTATTTCAATCCATGAACTTAAGAGTTCAGAGTATGCAAAGATATATTTATTTTCTCCATAAATTCAATGCAACTCTGTGACATTTTTAAACACAATACTCAGTTACCAAAACAGGCAGTACCAAGAACAATGCATCAAGCGAAATGTTCTGACACAGAGTCAATGTGAAAGCAGCTAAGGAAACTAACTGTATACCAAGCCAAACCAATGTAGCTAGCAGAGGAAGCAGATTCAGGAAATGGTACCTGATAGGACCATTAACAGATCCAAGGCGAAATACAACTATAAAGCGAGAACCCTCCTCATATCCTCGAATTTCTGTTCGTAAGAATCTTCGAGTGCCGTCAGGTTTCTTTAAGGACAGAGTGAAAGTGTCCTCCTTCACTATTTCAATGGGAAATGACCAATCTGTATCATGGGCATGTACCTAACAAACACCAAGCAGTACAATTAGACTGACATCTTAAAGCAGATTTGGATAAACGCAACCAGGGAAATATAAGAAAAATGCTGAGAGATTACAACTAAACAGCCCACATTATCTTTCTCATGAATACCCATTGGTTTTACATACTACCCAGCCAAGACAAATATTGAAATCTTAATTTAGTAACCCAATCTTAGTTATCTTATTNNNCTCTGTCTGAATGAAATCTTTCTTGTTCATCAATCAGCTTCATTCCTTACATCTTCTCTTTTTCAAACCCTTCACAAAGGTAATATCAATGTCTACCGAAATCCATGATGCTGCCTTAAGATAAAAAATTAAAGAAAAAATTATAGGAACTAAATAAATATGAGCGATGTCTTTGAGGTTTTATTCTATTAACCAATTTCCTTGATACATTATCTGCTATCATAAGAGGCTATTTTTCTAAGATAAATGCACTTGGCATAAAAGAATATTCAGGAGCATCTCCAAAATTGGCCACACCCTCCATTGTAAACCAGCATACAGGGATATGGACCGACACAGTCCAATATAAACACCTTAGTAACATTGGTTCCTAGTCCTACACTAGCACAAATAGATGTCATGTCCAAAGGCAAGCCAACTAGTCAAGCTTGATATGGAACTACAAAATCATACTTCCACAATATTATGTAAATTTTATCATGGAACATTTCATATCCAAATGAGGCCATCACACTAGCAAGTTGAAAACCATCATTAACCTGAATTTTATTAGGACCATCTGTTTTTCGATGCACGAAGGAGACTCTTGTATCAGACACCCTCAAAGTCTTAGGTTCATCTTCACTGCTGAACTTCAATAACAAATTTTGACCAACTCTGTTTGTAAAAGTCATGAATGGTCGAACAGAGATAACCTGATGAAGCACATTATAAGTCATGTAGAAGATTACACAAGTGCACTTTGTTCAGTAATATAATTACCTTAGTCGGGATGGATTGGTAGGGGCAAGGTTTTGACGATACAAATAGTTGCATACAACTGCCATCAGCATTATAAGCAAAAAGGTCCAGACAGCCATCCTATAAATCAACCACCTAGATGAGCATACACATAAAGATATATCAATATTTAAAATACTATCAATTACCATGTCCCCTAGCGGAGTAAGATCTTTAACAGGGCCAAATTGCTCCCCACCAGATTGGCCTATAGATGCAGAGAGACCCAGATTTTTGAAGTTCAATGCAGATGCAATCGTATAACCTTCACGCGTCTCCTCCTCAGTAATTTCCTCAAGGATGACTTCTTTTACCCTTTTGGCTTGAAAAGACAACGGATTCTTCTTCAATCTCTTAGCACCGACATCTACAAGCTTGAAAGCAAGGGGTGGGCATCTTGCAATTCCAAACCAATATGGCGAATACACTTTAATGATCCTTGGCTGTAGAGAATGTTCATTGGTATGGTTATGCTCAAGAATGAGTTGAACGATCCTGCACACATAGATGTTCACGTATTAAAACACGCAAACTAAAATGCTTTCTTATCCAGCAGGAAGATATGTATAATCTATAACTACAACTTCAAACCTTCCAGAAACTGAACTTCGTAAGCTTATTGTCTTCGATGGTGGATCAGTAGGATGGGACAGAAGAATAGCTTCCTATAACATATTATTTGTAAAGATCAGTAAGCAAAAGAATATACATCCAAAGGGGGTAAACATATGATTTTTATAAGAAAGAAAAACATAAAATAAATTCTCATACTGACATGTATTGGCAGCCATCCTCTTTGCGGAAGCAAAGAGAAGTACAATGGGTTTCTTATGTCAACATTATACACATTGACACTCTCTCCAGGACGAGATAACCCTCTATAACAGGAAAGAAAATGACCACTGGCTTGCATTTCAAGAAGAGAAATTTCAGCCATAAGAGGGAGATAGTTAGTGATTGATACAGGGGCCATAACCACAATTGTCCAGTCCTGTATTGGATTAAAATTAATGTCCTTTGCAATTTCAGTTGCTTGGATGCTCAAACAAAACCACACACCACGTAAACTATTTGATGAACTTCCACTAGTTTCGGGGCAATACAAGAGCTTCTCAGACTCTGAAAGAGATGAAATATAAATTTCTCGAACTTCTTTCGAACTCTCCACATCCTGTGACTGAACAGGCAGATCCACCACAGAACTCCAAGAATAGTTCTCAGCTCCCAAATTTGAAGGTTTTAGATGCAATATATACAAGGCAGACTGAGATAGGCAAGGCAAAGGAAGAGGTGCCGTGTCCCCAGGTTGTATAGGCCCAACAACTACTTGCGACTCATCTGTTGTAAAGTCACTTCCATGAGATGGGCTACCATTCCTTTTATCAACTCCTAAGTTTCCACCATTTGCAGACTGAAGACTGAGGCAAAAATCTAGAGTAACATCAGTGTTGTTACGGACGGATACAAGGGATCTGATGCTGACATATCTGTTTCCATCATTTACGCTCACTTCACTTGCAACTAAATCATTGCCTAATTGCCAACATGCTGAAGGTGAACCATAATTTAGCCTTACCATGGTCCATGGCCCATCCGCAGATGGGCTAATCTGAATCGAACCAAATTGTCTATTCCTACCATCTGCCTTTTCAAAATTCTCACTTTCAGATCTTGGTGGCAACAACACAGCACATCTGACTCTACCAATTTTCCTGCATCTGCCATCATGCTGCATAAGAAATCACAAAGTTGAGATTTACAAGGCGTATGTCACGCGCGAGCATGTGTGCGTGGGTGGTGTGTGTGTGTGTGAGTGAGAGAGAGAGAGAGAGAGACCCACCGGAGATTCTCCAGAAGACAACTCTAGCCAAATAAAGCCCCATTGACCATTGTCGGATCCAGGATTGCTTTCAGACCCAGTCACATTTTTCAGACAAGCACTATAGCAGCCAACTGGCTCACCTGTGAAGGCAAATCAAAGTCAATGCCCAGAGCATGTGAGTAAAGTACAAACTGGGCTCTGAGGAACATTTTCTTGAAGACATCTTGACATGGGCCAGCATTTCATCAATGTTCGACCAGTTGGTCACATAGGAATTTGTGAAATGAGTAGGGAGGGAGGTAGTGTAAGTTAGAAAGTAGATCAAGTGAGTAGGAAGTGGATCAAAGTGACTGGTTTTATCATCCTTCGTATTTACTTTCCTCTCATAACATAGTCCTACATACAAAAGATATTACTATTGTTGCGATTGAACAGGTCCAAGTAAAAAGGTATGTGTCATTCATGGAGAGGCATCAGAACATAAATGTGCTCGACATTGAGCCCAGACGCAAATAACAGACAGGTTTTATATATCAGTCGGGCATTTAATGCTTCGCAGAGGCTCCTTACATACAAATGAGTTACCTCTCCCAATCTCATGGACGGTTAGTTCCAGCATGCTCCAATCCTGTAACCACAGGTGGGGATATTAAGTAAATATACACTCTGAAAACAACAAACCAACCAGACGTTCAGAAAGCAAAAATTCAGAACGTCAATCATCTCAAAGTGTTATGCTCACAAAGGAGTTAATATGTGATATAAACATAACCTTGAATTCAAGTAAAAATGGACCAAGTACAAAGCAAATTTAACAATTGAAGAGTGCACTTGACAGGAAAGGAGATACTATCAACATGCATGTAGATAAAAGGAGCTATTTTGAAGTTAAAAAAAGTAGTGAAGCTGCATGGGTAATCATTCAATCACAACTACGGCATATCTAAAGCAAATGATTAGCTGCAGAGGCGGATACATAAAATTAATGCAATGAGAAACACAATAATACAAGTGTGAACAAACAAGAAAATAAACAGGTTCTAAAAGTAAATAACGAAAAAACTACATTAAAAATAAGTACACTCTGATTTGAAGATTGTAATTTATTTCATGTCCACCAGCAGAAGCATGCATATGTACAGGCATCAATATCAAAAGTGATTCCACATCGAGAAATCCTATATCTGTCAAAGCTCAGCTATACAGAAGCAAATAATTACTACTTTAAAAGCTCGTTTAGATACAAACCACTGAGTCGACTTTGAAGAAAAATACTTCATGCCACTTCACAAATTCAACATCTGAAGATTCAGAGTCATCTGATCCAGTTCCACGAGTTCGAGCAAATTGTTGATTTAGGTGTGATTGGTTAGGGTGACTCTGATCATCATAAACGCGAATTCCAACATTATACTGACGAGAGCCCAAGCCTTCCGGCTTCATGAGCTGCAAATTCAAGGAAAGTACACAGATGCAGGACAAGAAACATCAACACTGATATTGTCAACCATGAAATAGTTCACATTAATATCTTTGAAACGATAAACTGTTTTTCACAACATACAAATAGTTTCCTGTTTCCCACCTTATATCTGTAATTTAAGTAACATTAAGCCAGGTTTTAACACAGTTAACTGGTAAATATCTCCATCTATTATCCATCATTAATATTACAAAAATGAGTAGGTTTCATTTTTTTTTTTCCAGACATGAGTCATACACAGAACAGCAGGACTTTTGAGTGTACTTTGACATAATACTCAAATAATGCCCTCGTGACAACACAAACAATTGTGTGACGCTAGCTACATATGATTGTATGTTTCAGTCATTTATATCTGGGATTCAGATTCAGCCAGCAGGGTAAAGATGGTCTTAGTGCCTCTATGGAAGTGTAATGTGCAGACAATTGTGTGCCTCATTCAAAACTGGAACCTAAACCATAGGATAACTATACAAAAGTAAAGGAATGCCAAGTAGTTCGAGGTCCCAGCTGATATCATATTATATCACTAATCAGGTTGACAACTGCAAATCTGACTAATTACGTGAAGCCATAATTTGGACATCAAATGTCCTAGAATAGGCAAAAGTATATTAATGGGTACCCTAAAACAATATATAACAACAATTTTAAAAGATGAAGTTATTAGAGACAGCTTCAATATGCAGTGGTCAGGCCTTACAGTCAACATATACAAATTCTATTGCAACGAATCAATAACTGAAAATCAATGGAAGCTAATCACAAAACTTAGAAAGAAGTGCCCCCAAATATTATGTAATACGGCCATTCCAAACATCCCACAGGAAAAAAGGGACTTCGACAGAACTTACCTCTGCTTCAGCTACAATGACAGTTACCATCATACGCCGTTTCTGAAGAAGACATCCTTTCAAATGAGAATCCAGCATGTTCTTCGGAGCTGGCAGTTTTAGAGCTTTCCTATCTCCAGCCGGCATTTTGATTATGTCAAGAAGTCCCTTGACTGCAGAAGCCCTGATGAAAATGTCTTTCCCAAGCTTATTTTGAGGAACAATGTAGTAACTTCGCTTTTGATGTACAGCAGTGAGAGATCCAGAATTAGTATCCGGAGGACTTGCTTCCTGCAGACAAAATAAAAAACAACTGACCATAGCACATTCTCAGGAGATGAATATCTGTCACAAGCAGACATGTCACAAGCAGAGAGGTGGTCACTCTAGCTAGTAATATATGTCCTATCAGCAAAACAATAATCGTATACACAAGAAAGTTAGTCAAAATCCAGTCTGCAAAAGTTAACCTCATGTGTTTCTTGGACATGGCTAAGATTGTTCCAGCTTGCATATGCTTGTAAAATTGTATTGGCGTTGGAGACAGACAAGTTCAAATTCAAATCTCTAGTAGAAGCAACACGAAGCTCAGAAGCTACACCAGGAGCACTGGGATTATATTGGTACCTATACACAACAAACGATTGTCAAGCACAAGAATGCACTTGCAACTACACAGAGGGGCATAAAAAACGGAAACGCGTTTTTAAATGTGGATACTGACATGACCTTAGATACCAAATGCTTCAATGAAAGAGGCAATTGAACCAGAAGAAGCATTTAACAAAGAAAGCCAAGATAGATACGATTTCATTATGTATATTGTTTTGAGATTCCTCTTTCAACACAACACTATTTATATAAATATTGATTTATTTCCTTGCACTATTGATATTTCTAGGTCACATAGGAAACATTCTATTTAGTATTTACAAATCCATTTTCAAGGCAATGACTGTATATTTACGTTAAGTCTAGCCCTATATAAGTGTGATTGTGCAGGGACTTATTACCAATCATTACAGTAAAATTTCTCAAGAAATTTAGATGGTATCCTGAGCCTACGACCCCTTCTCTCAGTCCCTTTTTTTTNCTCAGTCCTTTTTTTTTTTTTTTTTTGGTTCCCTTTTTTTGGCAAAAACCTTTTTTCGGCGCTCATTTGCAGCAGCCACCTCTGATCACTTAAGTCAGGTGACCAGCGACCTCTGCAAGTTCCGTTGACTAAGGGAGAAATCCAACATGCAGCAAGTTGCAGATCACAAACATAGGGAAGGAGACTTCACTACTCAAAGCAATACTCTCATTCAAACAATTATATAATGTGTGTGACAATAACGAAAAAAGAACTATGTAGACTGGAATAAAGGTAGCTATCAGGCGCACTTACGCTATGGTATATAGGATTAGGCTGAACTACAAGTACTGGTCTTTTACTTGATTCAGTTTTCAAGTGGAAAAATACTGGAAGGGTTTAACATTCTAATGTATTACCTCAATGATCCATCAACTGGTTCAACAATAGGCTCCCATGAATCATACTTATCATTGTACGATCTCACAGCCAAAGAGAAGATCACACTCGACTTCAAGAAATCAGGTCTTCCATGCAGGCTGAATCCAACTCCACTCAAAGATATATTACACAATGGGACAANACAGAATGCAAAATTTTACACATGCAGACCTACATGTACAAGTTTATAACATATGGAGTTTTACCATATACTGTATATATATATATGCCACACAGTAGCATGTATATATTAGTTATGATTAAATATTATAAACAAATGCTGATCCATGCGAAGAGATGTTATGCGTGCATTTCTTTTTTAGCACAGTTAGCCATTCAAATTTCATTTATTGATGAAACTTTGAATACAAAAACAGAACAAGCAATCAGTAATACACCAGTAGAACCGAAAAGAATTCAGGAAAAAGAACCTACTGTGCAACAGTAGCGATTTCACAACAAAGTTCAATTTCAATTGGCACAAAAATATAATCTCACTTATGTTCCCAATGCATGTAAAACAAGACTCATTTAAAATAAATTGCGATAATACTTGGAGAGTTTTAGACATGAAAAGGAAGAGCATTCATCATTATATTTAATTAAAAAAATAAAAAAATAAAAAATAGACCAGAGCAGATACCCATCTCCAGATGACCCTAGATACTTAGTACTACTATCCTGATCAACAAACCATGAAAGGCAGATCCCAAGATGGAGACAAACTATCAAAATAGCATGTACCACGCTGCAAATATCACACTCTTCATGCAAACAAACAGAATACAATCAAAGGTTCTTCCATCAGTTTAACCTTTTATACTTACGGATCTCCTTCAAACTTCATATCAAGACTCATATACAAGTTAAAGATATGCAAAATTCAAGACAGACCCATTAAGAAAAATGTGCTATGGCCACAGAAGTGCATCTATAGTATGATAAAACATTTCCCTCACTGACATTAACTTAATGGAGGAAAGTAACATAACGCAAATAAAGTTATTCTAATCAACAGTAACTTAACCAATGTGAAAAAGGCAAAAAATAATGTTTGAGGATGATTCAATAACCAAATTAAGTGATCAATTTACCAAGCCACCATAGTCATCAAAAAGTGCTGCAGAAAAGGTCCTTATTTCTGCATCAACCACAGTATCATCAGAACTGCTTGGCGTGTCTCGCCCACTGAGCTTCAATGCAAACCGTTTAGGAGGTTTCTTTAAACCATTCCCAACAATGAAGGTGCCAAATTCATTGCCAACTGTCCATATGCTAAATGGCGCTCTTACAAACTTGGAATCAGATAAATCCCATACACTTTGATCCAAAAAATGATCTGTTGAGACCATATCAGCGCGAATGCACCTTAAAGAGATAAAATCAGATTGCTTGGGCTTGCCTTTGCAAGCAGTACACCCTAATGTAACAAAACCTGGAGGAGCCTGAGGCATCCAGAAAGATATGGTATCCACTTTCCTTTGTCTTTTTACATGTCCAACTGGTTGAAAATCAGAAGGCGCTATAAACAGATCGTTATCTTCTGATTCTTGGAAAACTACACAAGTATTTGGAGGCTCATACCTGAAAATCAAGTAAAAATACATAGGCAGCGTCATGAGAGTTTCAGGTCAATCAACAGTACAATAGACTTTTTCTTACCCTTGAACAGCGATATCACCGAAATACACCATTCCTTCCGGGACCACAGGACGCCAGATGGATATCTTTTTCCTTGATCCAGAGCCCTGATTCCACCATATTAGTCGAAAGGTAGCAACAGCTTCAATCCTCCGTCTAGAATTTACTGTAGACGACCTTTCTGACTGAATAATGTCGTCCCCAGCTGATGTAGACGTTTGCTTTTCCAATCCTATCAGTTTGTCAGGAGAAATTTCTGGTAACCTAAAGTACAATTGTCTCAATTCATATGCTCCCTGAGTCAGATTCATCGTAGCAGGGTCAGCAGGCAGGAACGTTCCAAAGGCATTATCCACCCGCCAGAAAGCCATGTCCGGACATCTATAAATCATACCCCAAAAACAATATCAACTAATCAAACTGAGGGTGACAGCCAAAGAACCCTATAATTGATTATGTGCACAAAAATAGCAGCTAGTTGCTTCAGATTTTTGTTCAAGAACAAAATACATATGAAAGGTAAGATATGGTGGAAATGTCATAAGTAAAAGAACTCAAATGAATCTCCTTCAGAAAAAAAACCATGTAATAGCAAAATTTTCCATACCCAACGCCTGAGCCAATGCTGACACAATCTCTCAGACCACAAGGGGAAACTAAAGATGCCGAGATACAGAACACTGACGAAATTGAAGGTTGTTCCCATCCAGAAGAAACTACACAACCCAATGCTACATAACCCTTTGGGGCTTCAGGCAACCAAATTGAGCATGTTGTGTCCCAGTCGGAGCTGCCTTCATTTTTTGCTAACTCAAAACTACCTAATCCTTCGATCTGCAGGATGTCACTGTGAAAAGAATGAGGCCACACGAGTGTGAAAGATTTTGGTTTCTTCACTCGTATTAAGCTGGTATTGACAGAAACTACACCTTTTGTAGGCGGCTTATCACTGCCAAACAAGGAAATGAAAGCTCACATGAATTACTTGACGTAAAATGGATGGAAACAGGAAGAGAATTAGGAATTAGAAAATATACTAACATTGGTGTCAAATAGTCACCAAGTACAGCGAAACCAGTTGGTGCTCGAGGTCTCCAGAATGCATAAACATGGTCACTTACAGGACCTGCAGATACAGGTATATATGTCACTGCTCCAAGTTCTCCCACGGACAAGAATACAGTGAATATATATATTCAATTCAACACAACAAAGTGAATCATACTAACTATATAATCATTTACTTTTAATGGTTCCAATCCTGTCAAATTCAGAGCATAAAACAGTCGATTTCTTTGATGTCGTTCTTAAGATGGATAAAATATCCTCTTCAACAGCTAAGAATAGCCTCAAGATGCTGAATGAAAAATTCATGAATATGTCTGAAACATTCAACTGCAGGCTTGTCTTTCCAGAAGCACTGGAAAATTTTATAGATGCGTCAAAGGGCTCCAAAATAGTGATGCCATTGCTTTCCATGGTCAAATCAACAACTTCTGTGCTCATTTCAACAGTATTACCCTTCAAAACAAGCCTGCATAAGCATAAAAGAACATACTGTTAAAATGCAATTCATTATGCTTGGAAATTGACAACATCGCCGAAGTCAAAAGTTGATTCTTGACTGTCAACTGAAAATTTTCAGTTGAGAGTTCCTTAGTATAATATCCCATACGGAATGTGGTTGGCGGCTTAGTTCCATGCAGCATTGGTGGATTCATACACGAGTTTTCATCAGTGAACTCCATTAATAGAACTTAAGCTAAAAGGAGCAAACACTTGAAAGAGGCCAGCAGGGAAAGGAAGGCAAGTAGAAATTAAGTGCATCAAATTGTCGATCCAACAAGCTGGCATACATAACACGATGAACCCGTATATCCTACTAGATATCAAATCCTTTCCATCTTGGGACACCTTTTTGCATCTATGTAGCCCCTATAGGGTTTATTTGTTGCTATTACAGTTTGAATTTTAAGGTTATGTCATTTAAGATAATGAGTTGAATTTATTTCATCCTTTTTAGATTGTAACAACTAGCTCATTCATGAGGAATCTTATAGGTTTTGTTCTAAAAAACTCACTTCTATTCAGAATAAGAGTGTGCTTGGCATTTTTTTGAGGAAACGAAATAGGTAATGGTGAGAAAGTAGGGTAGCAAGAAATGGGTATGGCCTATGGGACTCATGCACCCCCAGTTTGTGGGGGCGGGCATATGGTTCATTGCTTGGTTTTTGGAAATCAAAATGGTAGTAGGAGAATGATTACGCCACATCAAACCATATTTTTCAGACCATTCTTCAGCCCCCATACCTTTATATCAAGCACTCTCAAGTTTTTTCTTAGTGAAAAATGAGGAAAAAGTAATCAGTGTGGTAGCATGGTGAAATTTTCTTTGAACTATTTGAGTAAATGAACCTTATAACTAACCAAGCCCTTGACAGGAAATGATTGAAAGGACTTCCTGGTAATTTTCTCGCCGTATCGTTCAAGGATGTCCGATGGCATAGTTCAGAGGATGGGGATGAGACATGCAAGTTCAATATATAATGCAAAGTAAAAAAAAAAAANTGCAAAGTAAAAAAAAAAAAAAAAAAGTATTGAGAAGTTGACCTGCAGAATGTGTCCATCTGCGCATGCAACAGTTTGTTAGACATAATATGTTGTCCTGTATTTCTTGATTTATTGTAGAAGGTGAGCTCCGGACCAATAGCCTGTGCACAACATAATCAACGAGTATGTAAGGAACCAACCATCAGAGAGGGATGCACGCATTTGCTATTGCATGTCATGAATTAGATAACAGAAATCTTACTGCATCTTACTTACTCGTATACCTAGTGCCACATGTATAACTATTAATATAAAGATCGCAATTGGCAGTTTTAACAAACTTGTTCACAATGTCATGCCACGTCCCCATATGATAATCAAAGGCAGCAAAAATTGTAGCTCATACATTCATCAGCTTCATTCAGTCTGTCATAACTTGGAATCACCTAGGAGCTTTGGAAGTTCAATGATTACTAATACATAATTCTACATGCATTCACTATTATACAAAAGAATGATTCATGTGCAAAATCTATATATATAAAAAAAGAATAGTATTTACTAAAAATATCTTGGAAAAATTCCCGCCAGACGCCAACATTAAATACACAAAATTTTGGCAGGTTTTTAACGCGACTGAAATAAATCGGGAAAGCAGTAAATGCGGTGTATGCATTAATTGCATCCTTAATTCCAGAATTCAAGAAATTACCTATTTAATTTATGTCTTCTCTAAGATATCGCCGAATCATGTGAAAAAAAAAAATGTGGATTTATTTTCATCCCAAAATTAAAATCCAGTAATTTATTTACATGATTGTTAATAAATCTAAAATAAAAAATGAATATACCTATAGTTTAATTTCAGCTGTCAAATGCAAATTTCAATAGAAATATTGTGTTCTATAGTTTTAAACATGCAATTAACAATATAATTCCAGACTTTTCTAAGATATTGCCGATTCAATAATATATAAATTTTTCATGTCTAATATTTCATAATTGGACAACTACTCCCTATGTATGGTAACTCTTTTATTGTAGAATAACCTTCAATTTTTAAAATCGCACAGTTACGTACTAGTAGAACTAGAAAGGAATAGAGAAAAAAAATCAAAAAATGCAATGTTGAAAGGCAGTCGCAAAAACAAGATAATACATATAGGATTTGGTTCAAATAGGAACCACTTTTTAAAACAGGAATGCAAGGTCAAATTTCAGCTATTCAAAAGACATATCGTGCATTCACGTATATATGAATTAAAATTACTGTGTTTAATTGACCAATAAAAAACACTTTAAATACAGAAAAAAAACTTGAATTTCACATTATAGCCTTCTATGAGCACCAATATAGTTATAAACATGCATTACAATTACAAAGATATACTGGTCGTTTCAAAGTTAATTAATGCATATTTACTTATTCAACGATGCAGAGTTAGAAAGATACATTCATTTCTATAATAAACTTACATCCATTTGATCACAACATATGAATGGTTGTGAATAATATGTTCTTATTTTAAGAATGGTTTCCATTGGAATATATATAACAAAAAGGAAAGAAATCATGATGGAAATTGAACAAAATAATGTACCCGTGTCATATTTGCTAAATTTCAGATGGTTCAGAAAGTAAAAATACCCATGCCATAAAATTATAGATGTGTGAGCCTCTACATCAACATCTAATATACCCATTCGGAGGCAAATGCAAGTAAGTATTGGTTGATTGGATAAACTGAAAAAGACAAAACAGTCACTATTTATGATTCTCTATGTTTAAGTATGATCTCATTCATAATTTGTGCTCCTCTAAGAGATTGTATTTACCTTTTGCTCACTTCAACTCTTTTCATGCTTTGAAGTTTCCAATTTCATGACTACAAGTTACTCACTTCTCTATAACTGAATTAAGAAAAAGGGAAGCAATCTCTCACTCATTACAAAAGTCGAATACAGGGGACGAAGGAGTAGAAGAAGCCAAGAGTATAAACACAAGTTTTCATTACACTGAGTTCAGTTTCAAACTCTTATTTTCAGCATATTGGGTTGAAAAAAAAAATCAGTTGACTTTTTGAATAAATATATTATCTCTAACCCTCAAGTACANAAACAGAGAAGATTGAAGGCAAATGGAACATGTTACTGTCATTTCCACTGAATCTGTTTATTGTCTTTAAGGTTTATTATCATACTGAAATCAATATTACTTGATAAGTGTGAAAATTTAAAATTAAATACCAATTTCACATAAATAAATGATATCTTTATTCATCTGTTTATTCAATAATGTCTGTAGGATAATTCGCAAAATATTGAAGCCAAACAATTAAGTGACCAGAAGAACAAGGGTAGACCATATTACTGAACTAAAATGAGTAATTAGGCATAACATCTTGATAGGTACAAAGTTTTTGAAACAGTGCTTACATATTTTTTTCAAATTAACATAAAAAATGTTCATTAAGAAAATTATCATAATACAGCAACTTATTTGAAGTCACTCCACTTGGTCTCATATCATATACTGCTAGCGCTAGAGGTCCTTATGGCTTGGCCTTTCTATAGTTACTCTCTAAAATCCTTAGTTATACCATATCATAACATAATCATCGAATTGCTCCTCTAAACACCTTTTCCTCGAATATGAGATTTTAATGTTTAACTAATTCTTTGTATCATCTCAAATTTTGGGTGAGAATTTCAAGTTGTCAAACCCAATGCATCTTAATTAAGTACCATACCTGCAATTCAAATATCAATTCTGTTGAGCCGCCCAAAGTACCATTTGCTGATGCCACAGCAGTAATGTTCCTCCCTTCGGAGTTATCAGAAGGGCTTCCTCTTTCCCCCTCCAAGTACACATTATCCTTTTCATTAGCTGAATAGCTGCTGTTGGCGCCCAGCAAAATGCATGAATCAAAATATGTTCCATTCTGGACAATTAAAGACCAAATGCTCAAATTCATATAAACGATTACAGATATGTAAACAAAAGGGCAAGTATGATACAATAGAAGAAACCCTACTCTGACAGTAACATTTCTGAATTGTAATTTCTTTCCATTCCCCACATAAACCAAAGCTTCCCTACTCGGAGATGATAGATTTAACCCTTGCCTGTCTTTCAGATACAAAATCCCACCTCTTCCATCATATACAAAAAGGTCAAATCTTTCATCATCGACAACCAAAGGTTTCTCAGGGGATATTGAGAATTCTGCAGAGGGTTGATTGAAAACTGGCTGGTCAAGTATGAGAGCATCGAGAAAATGTGATGGGTTAGCGTTCTCATCCGATGGTTCACCACGAAATGTTGGGACAAAAAACTCAACTATTGCGAGCAAAAAATCTAGTGCAACAAGCAACTGTGGCCTTTGGATGCACAAAGAAAGAAATGTTGATTTTTCATTAAATGTGGCATCAAAAATTAAAATTGCTGGAGTATACTTTCTAGCGTTGTCCACCGAGAGATTGTTCTCAACATCATGATGCACGTTCTCAGGCATAGACCCAGAAAAATTGTCTCCATTTATATCAGGCTTCCTAATGGCCAACCTAAGCTCTTTTTCTGTGCCTTCACGATCATCAACAACAATCAAATCCTTCAGTGTGGCTGACAGAGAACCTTCCCCCACCGTGTTAGATTTGTACAAAAGCCACACTCCACTCACCTGAAACATAAAATCTAATTACACCACGGAAATGTAAAATAAAGAAAACTGCAATACATATGACATGACCAACTAAAGCTATCCGCCAAATGCGTGGAACTAAACCACATTCAGTCAATTTGGAAACACAAAATAATCGAAGAACCATGTGCACTAGTAGGTACTGTGTTAAACACAAACTTATTGATCCAAGCAACACAGGCCACAATCTAAAGATACCTCTTTGAGGAGTGTGAATAATTATCAAAATCTCTAAATAGCAAAATGCACATTTAAGGCTTTGTGAGCAGTGGCTTTGAATAGCTTCAGTACAGCAAAAGATGTAAAACGTTGTGCAATTCTACCACAGCTAAATAGTAATTCTCTTATTATGAAATTCCTTAAAAAACAGTTAGAAATTTGATCCAAACTTCTGTACAAACATCTTATGAAATGAATGCATATGCCATATGTGCAATGAAATCATGGCCATGGCACGCATTATGAACAATCAATCTCACAAGCCACTAAAAGGGTACTCTCTAGGGTATTTGATTTACAACCTGAAGAATGGCGAGTGATGCATCAGTTGTGACACCATAATGAAGACGAAGTTCAACCATATCAATACGGACAGAGATCACAGTTGCCACCACGATCTCCCTTGCCTGAGTTTCAGACCTCGCGTGATCCAATCCTTGAGCAACAGTGTGACCTCCCACATCAACAAAAGGGGACACTGATACATTTTCCAATGAAGGCACAAAATTTGGGCTCTCGGAAATATTAGCTTGTGCACATTCTATGATAATTTCATACTCTTTGTTGGATAAAGCTGCTTTCAGCTCTTCAATCTGAGATTTATTAAAAATGCAAGATATGATTGGTTAGAAAAGTGCACATTTTTAGAGAACTAGTAAAGTGCACGTGTCATGCACGTGGTGGTGAATGTCTTTGGTCGATTAAGTTTAGTAAAATACACTCTCAAATTGAAACATTTCTGATAAATATTACTGAATCATAATATCAATAAATAAAATATCTTATTTGATAGGATACTTGTGATCAAATACACTCTCAAATTGAGAAAATCATAAAAGCATTTAAGGATCTTTAACATAATATCAATAAATAAAATATTTAATTTTAATTCTCATTGTTTATTTAGCGCTCATCTTGAAAATAAAGTAATAATAATTAAAATATTATTATATATTTTAGTTAATTATTGAATGAAAAAGTTTAAATATTTTAAGTGTTAATAATTAAAATATTACTCACCTATCAATATTTATTCAGGTGAAGATTTATCACTAAAAATATTTCAAAGTAATAGGTAGTTTATGATAGGATGGGTATTAGTGTATCACTCATTTGTCAATAAAATATGTCAAACTAAGGGTTTATTAGGTAGTTCATTTTTTAGATTATGTATATATTTCACGTGTGCATGATTTCGGTTAAAAATAGTAGCAAAAAAAAATTATGAGCATTTAACGCATACCTTATTTGAAAATTTTTTAAATATATGTTTTAATAGCTTTCATATACACATTTCCAAATCAGATATGATAAAAAAGATTGTACATCTGCAATAATTTTATGGATATCCATTACAATAAAATTTTTCGTTATTCATGTTGATAATATTTTGGTCAACATAAACATGAAAATAAATTTTAAGCCTTAACCATATTATTATTTCTTTTCACAAATGTTGATTTTCATCCTAAAATATTTATAAACAATCATAACAAGTTAAATAATTTTCTCCTTCTAACTAATTAAGCAAAATCAAATTGGTGAATTAATATTTATTGAAAATATTTTTTAACCTTTATTTAATTATATAAAAACAAATAATTTTTTCAAATTAAAATAATTTACCATTTAAGATAAAATGATCGCATATATATATATATAATAGTAGCAAAAAATATTTATGAGCATTTAATGCATATCTTATTTGGAATTGTTTTTCATAAATGCTTTAATTGCTTTCATATATACATTTTCAAATCATATATGATATTTAATTGCTTTCATATATATACATTTCCAAATCAGATATGATCAAAAAGATTCTTTCCATGAATAATTTTATTAACATATGTAATAAAACTAATAATTTTATTGATATCCATTATAATCCACCTTATATATAATTGCAGAATGCGTTGAGCCTAACTGGCAGACTCGCATGCTTTGGAATCCTATGTAACAAAAAATCATGCTTCGTAGCTAGACTTGTATAAAAATTAATATTTTTTATAATATAATAATTAGGTTTGGATTGCATAAAATATCTATATTGTTCAATTAAACCTATAATTGATCTATTCATTCTTTTATTATATAATTAGTTACCATAAATTATATTAGATTTCCTTTTCCTACATTACCATATATTAAATTTTCTATTCTTATTTAATTCATATACCAAATATCATAAATGTCATCTTATTTTTTAAATTTCATAACTTTTTTGCTTGAATTTATTTTTAAAATATGATATATCAAATTAATTATCTTTTAACTATCTTCGATTTGACATCCACATTACGTATATAAAATACAAAACAGTGATATATATCCTTATAAATAAAATTTAAATTGATTTATCAAACTAAATTAAAAATATAAAAATAACTACAAAATTATCTTATGAAGCAATAGAAATTGATTTATATTAACTTATCATAAAATATTTATTTTAATTGAAAAGAATATATATAAACTAAGTATGACCATAAATAAATGTAAAAAAAAATATTTTAAAATTCATGTCTGAACTTAAATAAAAACTACAAAGAGATTGAACATTATTGTTAACTTAAATATAAAAAATAATGTTAATTATAATAATAAATAATAAACATAGTTATTATATTTCAAAAAATTTATACACACATTATATTTTAAAAATATTGGATATTATAAAGTTTAAGATATTTAAAAATATAATAGATCAGTGGAGATATTTGTGTATATAAAATATTAATCAAACTTGGAAAAAATTTAAATCAATTCAAAATAAATTTAGTGAGTTGTGTGTGTGTGTGTGTGTGTGTGTGTGTGCATGTGTCTAATACTGAAAAAAAATCATTTTAACAAACTAAGTGTAAAATATAGGTATTCTCTTAAATAATTAACTTTGTTAACTTTTAAATTATTAACTTCATACTTAATTTTATCATTATTTATAATAAAATAAAATTCTTTATTTATTTATTTTGATAAAAAATATTTTATTTTTATTTTAATGCACCCCTGTGAATATGTTATATTAAATACATAATAAATTAATTATTCTATTTAATTTTAAAAAAATGGATGTATCTTAAATAAAATATATAATATAATATTTCATAAAAATATTTCTAGAATTTAAAATAATATTACAAATTCTTTTACTTTATTATTAATTACTTATAATTTTTCTTTCACAATAAGATTTTATTTCTTTTCATTCTTTGTTTCACAATTAATTTATTCTTCAAACACCGGTGTAGTTCACGGGCGTTGTACTAGTAAACTATAATTTGATTTTTCGTGATTCATGTTGAAAATATTTTGTTCAACATAAACATGAAAACAAATTTTAAGTCTTAACCATATTATTAAATGTTTTTCACAAGTGTTGATTTTCATCCGAACATATTTATAAACAATCGTAACATGTTAAATAATTTCTCCTTCTAAAAGATCAAGTTGGTGAATTAATATTTTTCGATAATATTTTTTAACCTTTATTTAATTATATAAAAACAAATATTTTTTTCAAATTAAAAAAATTTACCATTTAAGAGATAATGATGACATCATTAAATAATTTTAATAATGGCTAAATATTAAAATTAAAATATATTATTCTTTATAATTTCAACATGTGATTTATTTGTACATTATTGTCAAACATGATAATTTTATCATTTTTTTATTTTTTATTTGTTTTCATAATGAATTTATTTTCAAATAGATATTTATATTGTTTAGTATGTTAAATAAACTAATAAAGTCTTAGGATGCAAATTAGAAAAATCTCTTGATTATGCAAGGGTTTATTATTTGGCAATTAGCTAAATCAATTTTTTTAATTATTATGGAAAAATTAAATTCTAAAAAACACGAGTGTGTATTTTGTAAACATTTAGGGTGTGATTGGAAATAATATTTTCAATACATACTCAATCCAAATCAAATTTAACTCAACTTTAACTCAACCTTACTATCCTCAATATTATAAATTAATTAAATAATGTGAATCAATCATTCTTATATATCACATGAACTTTAATTCACTATTCATTCAATTATATAACTTTAACTAACCATCGTTGCACATCATCTCTCCTAATTTCCATCAAATACTTTACTCATTTTATTTTAAATACTATTTTAATATAAACTCAAAATCTCACTAACAATTAATCATACCACTTTTTTTCCAAATTAGCACTGATTAACCAAAAAAAATAATTTTGAGCGAAATTTTTTATATCCAAGCACGCCCTTATACACAAAATTTTATTTTAAATTTCATTACATAGACTAAGAAGAAGAAAACTACTTCTATAACTTTTATAAATAATAATAATGACATTATATGGCAACATATATTATAATAAAATAATAACTGAGTATATATGCTCAACAAAAATAAGTATAATTTTTATTTTATTTTCTTATATCAATGAATAAATATATATTGTAAAATCAAAATTTATATTAGTGTAATATGTTAGCAGAATAATATATTAATTAACATGTTACGGTTATGGCTAATATAAACATTATTGATTAAAAGAAGTGAAAAATTGAGGATCCAACCTTGTTGTTTTTTGTCTAAATGTACAAGCCCTATAGACAGTGACGGATTTAGAAAATTTACTCAGGGGGCCCGAATTTAAATATTAAATAACGATCTTGTAGGTTAAGTCGAAACACTCATTTCATGTAAATATGTGTTTACTATAAATATAAATATAGAAATATGTACCATCAAGTTTTTAAAAACTTAGAATCTGTATCACCTCAAATTTTAGAAAAGTAAACAAAAAAATGATTCAAATTATGTCCAAATTATGAAAAATATTTATTTTTGGTCGAAAAATTGATTCAAAATTGAACATTTGCACCACATTGTAGAGCATTTTTGTTAATAAAAGCTTTATCAAATGATTATCTTTTAAAAAAAAGAAATTAAAAATATGTGATTACACAAAAAAAGAGGAAAAGTCAACATTAAAAAATGTAACAATTCAATTAAATTCTCGATTTTATAAATTACTAAATCGATTTACGATTAAAAGAACGAAAGAGTAAATTATTATAAATATTTTCAAAATCTTATCTAGAAATTTAAAATATAAAATTTTTTTAGTATATTTTTCAATAAATAAATAGTATTATTAATTTAACTAAAAATAGCATAGGAAATAAGTTTTAACCATTAATGCATTGTAAATATTTTTTACATTTCTATACATATTATATAGTATTTTCTTTAAATATATTGACTTTTAGTAAAGTTTAGTTATTAATATATTGTATAAAAAGTTGCATTTCTATACATTTTATATTATTTTCATTTTTTTTTTATATATATATATATATTGATTTTTTCAAATAAATCAGGGGGCCCACGAGCCCCCCTGGCCCCCTTCTAGCTCCGTCTCTGCCTATAGAAATGACTCATTTAATATATGTGCCCCATGCAAAGCACGGGCTATACACTAGTTTTAGGTATCTTCTCTTAATTAAAGTTAAATATGTATCTTTGAAATTTTATATTACATACAAATCACCGTTCAACTAAGTTTTCGTTTTTTACCGTTTTATTAAAATTGTAGATAGGTAAATAAATAATTGAAAATATTTGAATCCTTTATAAGTATTAAATATGTTGGTTTGTTGGACCGGTTTTCCTAAAGAACTTTTATATCTTTACCATTAAAATTGTATTAAAAACAAAGACGCTTTTCAAAACAACAACTCTATATCCTTTCAAAGCTTTGTTGTGTGGGTTGATATTGAGTTGATTTTTGTTGATATTTTACCGTGATGGCAACTTCTAAACTTGGAACTTGGTGCAGCAAGTCACGGAGTGATCTCTGAATGACAATGGAAACACCCTTGACATTTTGAATTATGCTTTCACCCAATTCTGATCCTGATCCCACATTTAAGTTGATATCTTCAACCTGTGAACAGCATGCAGCATGCAGTTCTGTTAAATGTTTATCAACAAAGCAACTAAAGCTGTGCAGTATGAGTGACACTATTCATAACTAGAGATTGAATTATTCCATTCCCCGGTTAGGAAGGCTTAAATTTCTGGAGACCATTTTTTCTTATCATAGAACCTTGAGAAAAGGAAGTTTGTAAAACAAGGATGATCGATCTCTTTTGTAATCTCTAACAACGATAAATGAATTTGATACTGATCTGAGTGCATTCTAAAATCAAATTCATCTGATCTTCAATGTTTTAGAAATCCCTAGGCCACTAGTCAAACAGCAGCACATCTCCTAGCGCTTGCCACGCTCAGGAAGACACCCAATGTGCATACTCGGTGCCTATGAAGAAGTTTAGGAGGAAGAAATATACATGGATGTATTGTCAGAATTTCATTCACAAACGCAATCTTTGCATGCTTGAGAAGTCATTACATGAAGAATGCATAGTCAACTCATAGAAGCTCAAGATATAAACTCTAAGCCTTTCGCCAACTCCTTGCACATCCCTAAACTTAACGAAGAAAAAAAAAAAAGATCTCCATCAAACCTCTACCAAATCCTTCAAACTGTAGCCTGATTACAATCTTAAATCTACATTAGGGATAGGCAGAGCGGTATTGGGTGAATTTCACCAGAACATTTCTGGCTTAGTCAGTCATTGTCAATCAGACAGTTGAAGGTAATAGTTATCTCATGTGGTGCCAGAAGGAATAAAAGTAAGCAACCCCCTATGTGAAGAAGGTTTCAACTGAGGTAGAGTATATATGTAAAATTTTTGTAGAGTACTAGTGTGACACTGGTGGTAATACCACCAAATCACTGGAGCAATTCAAGAGAGCGGCGAAAAAATTGAAATACCAAAATCGAGGGAATGAATACTTCATATGAGCGAATGTTGAACAGAATAAAAATTGGAATCTTCAATTTACAAAGAATGTTTGGCACCTTTTGAATAAGTAAAATGAGAAGTCTATGATACAACTCAGTTGGTTTGCACATCCGAAACTATCACAACCAAATTATAAACTCAAGATATAATAAGTCTCCATTTGTTAGAATCTAATATTTTCCCGATATCCGTTCACTGTCCAATTTGAACTTACCTAGCTCCAAAAAGCGTTAAGATCTCTGTTTCATTTATTAAACGCTAAAAGTGGAGATATGCCGGCTACTCTTGTTGATTTATAGCAAACAAGAGGTTTTAAGAAATTCTCAACTTTGAAATAAATTTGATGCACAGAAGCACGGCCATCAAACAAAGAAGCTTCAAAAGACGAATCAAATGGATCAGATATAAACTAGGACCAGTAGCCAGGCATCGAGGGCTGTTTCAAAGACTGACATTTTTCCTACTGTAGTTGGCCATATTTCTTTTTTGTGTTAAACTGTCCGTAAAAAAAGACTGATTTCTTTTCTTTTCTTTTCTTTTCTTTTTTCTTTTTTTGGCTGTCCAAAGACTGAAAAAGATGCATTAGAATTTTCTATGATACAAATTATATTATTCGGAGAACTACGAAATGACATCTATGGAGATTTCTCCAGAAACAAATAATAAATAAAAGAAATAAAAAAAATGAAAAGAAAATGAGATGCAATCACAATCTAAATTGACAAGTGAGATGTAAGCTTATATGACTAAGAATGACACTTATATGCGGTATATTGCTTCAACTGTGCAAAATGTAATAGTATCTAGCAGTTATAACAATACATTAATACATAATTTTTCCATGACTAGATTGCATATAAATTATAATCCAGAAGAAACAACAACAAAAATCGACCTTTCAAACAACTGAATTATTGAAATTAATAAAAAAACCAACTCTTCGGGGTAACAACCATTGCGACATGTATCTCATCAATAGATAACAACCACTGGTACTACAGTACTTCTACATGTATCACGTCAATAGATAATAAGCTTGAGGACAGAATAGTATCTTACCCGGACTTCTAAAATATCCATGTGGACTGCCTTGATATCGCTTTTGCTCCCACCAAACCATCTACAGGTGTTCTGAACAGTGATTTGAACCACGTCAAGTTTCAAATAACTGCAACAAAAGAAAGAATTACATGTTACTCTCCTACCAGTGGCATAATCTTCCAGGCAGCAATTGTAATGCATTCAAGGACAGTTTCAACTCACTCTAAGCTATTCGTTCTCTGAGGCATTACAATGATTGGCTTTTTAAGTGAAACATTCAACTTCACTGCAGGCGAACCTTCAATTTCACTTCGTGTAATCCACTTCTGCGAGTTTGTCACTTGATCTTCTATTTGGACAACATCTTTGTTATTGGCAGGAACAAGACCCATAAAGTAACTGATAACCTGAAAATTGATTATCACAGTTGCAACAAATAGATCTCCAAATCAAACAAATAGCCAAATGAGGATAAAAGGTGTCAAACTTATGGGACCTCTTGAAGAAAGCGATTCAAATAGACAATTCGCACTTCAGACAGTTTCCCAAAGAGGCTGTAGTCATAACCCTCATAGTCATCATCGTTGGCACTAAACGAACAAAATTTCAACTGCATATTCACCAAAAGAGGATAACAAGTTACTCAAAAACACAAGAAAATACAATCATATATCTTTACCTTAAAATTAACAGAAAAATGTGCACAGGCAGTGGTTAGAATAACTAATATATACATGTAAAATAGTATAGAGGGGTATAGAGGAATTATGTAAGGAAGAATCATTAATATCATCCAGTACTTAAATGCAGAGGGGCATCTAATTCCTACAATATTAAGCCATGAAATACACAATATGAAAATAGTGAATTATCCAAAGATGTTTTTTGCTGGAGATATAAAAGCAGTGATTTATTTCTCCATATAAAAATCAAATGTACAGGGAGAAAGTAGAAGTGAAAGAGATCTAGAACCAAGTACAATTTGATTAAGGCCCCATGGCATGTATATCCACAAATGAGTGTATAGAGATGAAAGAATAAAGCTGTAAAACAAAAACTAGTGGACGAGAAAAGGAAAGAAACAATAAGAACCTCCACAAAGGAATTTCCTCCAGGATTCCGCATGTCACAGGCCCAGAAATAGGTATGACTACTAGGGAGACTGTCATCGCTTATCCTAAGATTCCCGAGGAATGCCTTTATACTAAAAGATGAAGGAAACACCTGTCACATGAAAGTAGTAATATCAGATCGATCCAAGCATGATATTATAAATTCTTTACCGTGGAAAAGAATAGGAATGTGCACCTTAATATCAGTAAGAAGATTATCTTGTGCCAAAGTAGCAAGTTTATTCTCATCTTCCATCACCAAGAATATCTCAGCACGAGCCATATTCAACCGTAAATAGAAAACTACTCTCGATTTCCCCTTTCCTAGTAAAGATTTAACAACACGCTCCTCCATTGGAACTGAGGGTACACCATCAGTCGGAATTTCCTTGAATGTATCATGTTGTACAGCAGATGTTGAAGATGTATCACTAAGAGGTTCACATTCATCCTCCTGAATATTAATAGAGTTTACGAATTCCATAATGGCTAGTATTGTAGGTCTACGACAGTAAAATGACAAAGTGGAGAGTGTGACTGCCACCTGAAATGATTTTTTTTAAACAAAAAGCAGACAAATCAAGACAAGTGTCAGACGTCAGTATATAAAGTAGCACTCGATAATCATAAGATGTAGATCTGTAAATTAGTAAACCATAACGAGGGTCATACTGCTTTTAAAACGTCAAAGTATGAAAAGAAAATACATATGAAGTCATTCAAATGAACCCTTAGAATTTAATTGGTGGCGTCTCAGAATTAGATATGGACCTAAATGCACAGTTTTCCAAACCNATGGTGTATTGTTTATGATAACTATAAAAATTAAGGAAGGACAATAATAGGTGCTACAAGCCATTAATTTGGAAGGCGTACTTCAAAAATGGTTAGACCATAGATGAGGTTCTACATCATAATATAGATTTTCAAAGAAGTCAGCTCTTTCACTTATTTTCCTCATCCAATCGAAGTTTTTGATAAATCTCAAAGATAATTGTTGTTAATTACTTATTCTAAGGCAAATGTAACTCCAATCAACCGTTGACGAATATTATCTTGTAACGTTAAGGTAACAACAAAGCACAAAGTCTAATGAGTTTTCTCTCCCTTCAACTCCTCTCCTGCATCTTCAAATCCACAATACTATCATCAAATTTATGGTTTCAAAAAATCTTATCAACTCTCAGGACTCAACATGACGAGGCATTTATGATTTTCAAATTGCAAAGCCTGTTATGGTTTATGAAATTAACGACCAAGTAATATTTGAACCATTAGAAGAAGATGAAAACATGTTCCGTGTCGTTGAACAGGAATATCAAGCGACTGTCGTGTGATATCAACCAAATTCGAGGCATAAAAGAATATGGAGAACTTCACTTGAACTACCAACTCACTTTTGTATCAACACTAGAATAAAGTGGAGAGTGCTGGTCGAAAATAATTATTTGAGCTTTGACAAAACTGCCCAATGCATCTGTAACTCCCTCCTGACCAGCTTCCATACGAGTAGCATCACGCGGTAAGACACCAGCAACACGCGTAAAACTAGGTGCTTTAGAGTCATTGTTTTCTGATTGTGTAATACTTCCAGAACTCATACCCTTCATTTCATCATCTGGTGACATGGGGCTACCAGCTAAATCATTAAGATCCTCAGGCGCCTCGTAAAACTCATCATCTCCTTCAGACTGGTTAACATCACTACTTTCATGTGTTATACTAACAGAATTTTCCAATAGCGAAGGAGCTGCGATGTTCGTGATGAAAGATCTTGCAATGTAGAGCTGAGATGTTCCCTTGCGGCAAACTAAATCTTCTACCTCCAATGCTTTAAGGACTGTGCCAATGAAGATATCATTCTCTCTAATTGAAAGCTCCACCTGCAGCAGATTGATTTGAACAGGTTAGCCATAAGTGTAAACACGTGAAAGCTGGTAAATGGGCATAGATAGAACTCATCCTCTCAAAGGACACTTATACACAATAACAGCCCAGTAACTAATCGATGTGGGAAAGCCAAAACTTCTAACAGCCCTCACGGGTAGCATGCCAATCCAAATATATCAGGTCCAAGTCCAACATCAGCTCCAAACTAACAAAATTGGGTACTCTTGTACCATGATAAATGGGCCTAGCCCAAGAGCTACCTCAAAGGGAAAGGGTTCCCAACACACAATTATACACAAATGGGCCTAGCCCAAGAGCTACCTCAAAGGGAAAGGGTTCCCAACACACAATTATACACAACCACCAACTAACTAGTTGGTGTGGGAAAAACATACTTCTAACAAAAGTCAATTTCAAATTAGAGTATTTATCTTACGTGTCCACCAATTGCTCGAAACTCAAGCAAACGCTTCTCATCAGCAAGAAGCATCTTCATAAAACTTTGATCACGCTGCAAAAGTATAAGCAGGCATTCGTGTCAGAAAATTAGGGGCTATATATCCAATCCAATGTACCATAAGGTCTAAGAAAAATCTTACCATGCTACAGTAACTGAAACTAATCTTCAACTCATCAAGCACACCAGTTAAAAATAACTTTTCTGTCGTCATCAGAGAATTTGTTGAATCATGACAGCTAGGTTCAGAGCTTTCCGAATTCGACAAGGTTTCAATTAGACCAGTTAAAGTAGCAGTTCCCTGCACAGACATTCAAGAACCCTTGATATGAAACAACTTCACATGCAAAGTAATGAAACGGAAATTTAACAACCAAAAGGAACTCCTCAAAGGTGTGAAATTGTCAGAGAACATGAAGTCATTAAACATCAAGGCAAATCAAATCTCACTCAAATACTGTCTTCTTCAGAACACAAAAAATGTTTATAAATGAGGGGTCCGGACATCTTCTCTCAACTATCTCAGCATAGTAGCAACAGTAATAGAAAACTTAAAGCAATTTGATCGTAGTAATATCTTGATTCATTTGTAAAAGTTCAATAAACTCAAAGCTTAGCCAATGCACAAGAATTGGTACGGATAGAACCCCAAAAATAAGTAAAGGGAAAAATGAGAAGGTGCGCAATTGGGCAACTTGAAACATTAGTTGCACAAATTGGAACGCCAGAATGAGGTGGGCATACATATGGAATTTCCAACTATATTCTCATTCACATGATTGACATTATTTGGTAATGGATAAATCCACAAGAGACAGGAATCCTGTGTACTAAACTTGCGCAGTCATCAATCCTCTGCTCCACCACTATTTTAGCTATTCACCATTTGTCCTATACTAGTAGTGTTCATTGAAACTATCATTTTGAATAGAACTTTACAATCAACCCATCATCATTTATAACAGAAAAGTAGAAAATTACTTTTTTATATTTTAAAATTTAGAAACTAAAACTTTCAAACAGATTTTATTACTGATATGATAAGACATTATTAATCTAATATTAATAGTTAAAAAGTAATTTCATATTCTAAGAATTGCCATGAAGTCATCCGGTAGGTTTTCCACTAAACCATTTACCACAAAACAGTTAAAAAATGATTTCACTGTTGGAGAAGATTTTCATGGCACAGCCCCCCATCCAATATTTTAAAATGCATTAACACTTATGTTAGTCTTACCAAACTTTTGCTAGTTATCAATGAACATAGAGATCCTTAAAAGTGGTGCAGAAACACTGAAGTCACCCAATAAAATGTGGTGATTGAAAAATGTAGACAGAATAAATGTCAAATGACTCGCAGACAACAGTACTGAAAATATTCAAGGCTAGGCCGGTGGGGAAGGTCTAAAACCTACGGTGTTGACAGTCGTGAGACATTACCCAATTTTCTAAATAGAGACTACTCAGATTCATTTGTTAAACTTTATCACGGTGATACAATTAACGAATGCAGACCTTCAGAATTCCAATGTAGTCGGGATGTCAAGCTTGGTTAACTTCATGAATGTCTATGAATATGGATTGAGGAAGCTAACACCAACAGCTACGGGAACTTAGTTATCAAACATAACTTTGAAGTCACTATTTCATTTTTAGCATCAACCATATAAGGTACATTTGAGGATTGTTAACAATTATCAAAGACATTCGATTCTGATCATTCTTCGTGAATATTTCACAAAGAACGGTTTCAGCAGTGGGAGCTGTTATAAGTGATTGAAGAAAAATAATCCTGAGGAAGGTGCATATGTTGGAGCATCAACAAAATTCAGTTCAAAAAGTTCCGACGAAGTGGATTGGTAGATACAGGGAATAATTGGACACCACTAGAGTAAGTGAACTTGACATCACATGCATATTTTGTTGTAGAATTGCACAATATGCACTCTAATAGTTCATCAGTCTATGGAAGCCATCATATATTCCAGTGACTCAAGTATAGTCTATGTACCTTAGGCAAGATTTCAAAGCAGTGACTCAAGTATAGTCTATGTACCTTAGGCAAGATTTCAAAGGTTAGCTGTTAGCGGATTCTATTAGCTTTTTTTACCAGCAGATTAGCTTAGCTGTTTTGACTAGTTTGTACGTTAGCCGATTATTGCAAAACGTGTTTGGTAAATTAGCTTTTTGATATTTTATTTACATTTAAAAATACTTATAATTATTTTTTGTATTTTGATATTTTTCATGTGGCAATTATAATTATTTTAGAAACTACAATTTATGTATATTATTAGTAAACAGTAAAAATAGTTATTAAACAACAATAAATATTTATGGTTGCAATTTCTATACAATGTTTATCCAAAATTGTGTATAAATTTTTTATCACAAAAAGAAGAAATGAAAAATAATGGGCAACACTTCAAACGCATAAATAATTGTCTTTCTCCAATCGCATTTGTCTTCTTTTATTATTTTTTTTTTTCTTGATTGATTGTAACAACATAAATAATTGTACCAAGAAGCTCACTTCAAACGCTACTAATTGCAGCGTTTACAAAATCAGCTTTTTCTCCCAAAAAGCCATTTTGAACAGCTGGTTTACCAAACAAGTTTTTTAGCTGTTTTAGATGGTCAAACCGCTAAAGTGGTTTCAAACAGCTAAAAGCTAAGCAAAAAGCCATTTACCAAATAAAGCCAAAGTCTGTAAGTCACAAAGTACATATCAATTGCTTAACAGCACAAGCATAGAAATAATAATTAATGCTGCTTAACGTGTGATATGATAAAAGGTTATTACCGATGCTCGATAAATGGCACCCTGGAGATAGCTTTGCCATGTTCTCAAAGAACTTTCGGAGCCACAGCGCAAAATTACAGAATTTGCATCTTCCACAACCTAGTAAGGATAGTCAAGTCAATTTAAAATTTCCACACAACCAAAAACCAAGAAGATATAACAATAATGAAATCATAAGGGGACAACCTTGACATAGGGACTCTCAGAATCACCAACAGCCAACACATGTTCCACATCTCCAAGTAAATCAGATGGAAGTCGATATAGATGTTTACCACGTAGGCTGGAAATTACAGAACCATGTTAGCACTATAATTCACAGATATGTTAATATTGATGCAGGCGCAGTGCAAAACCGTCAGAAACTGGGCATGCAGAACATGTACTTAGATGGTGGACATCTACAGTATATCATTTCTAAGCTATTCCAGAATCTTGGAAGATTAGAGAATACGTCAATGCTGTCAATTTGTATACAAGTGCAGTTCAAATTTTTTTGTCACACCTTTTAGCCATTGACTTCTTACATTTCTCATAGTTTGAGACGTGAACTGTGATAAAATTAGTTAATATTGGCATGATTGGTATGATGAAAAGAAATTTGACAAGGAATAGAATGAGTTGAAGAATGGACTGATTATGGGAAAGGAATGAGATAAGTTTTTCCACTGATATGTTTGGTATGCTAAAGAAATGAGGCCTAAATAGAATGATATCATCATTTCATATTATCAAAAAAGATTTTAATTTTTATATTAATGTTATTTTCTTATTTATGTTAATATTGATAATATATTTCTTTTAAAAAGATATGCTATAGTTGAAATAATTTTATTATATACAGTATATAATAAATAACTGAACTACTTGTTAATATCTATCAATTAATACAAATAGAAAACTACATAAACATGTAAAAGCATATATGATTCTATAGTATTATTTATTAGTTAATTCAATTTATGAACAAATATATAATATATATGAATATATAAACATATAATAAGATTTTTTTTTCAGAAACTATTAACAGATACATTTTATTATAATTTTTTATTATATAAATAATTTATATATCTAAGTAAAATATGAATAATAAATAATAAATAAATTATTTTTATTTATTTATTTAATATTTATTTTCTAAAATAAATAATTTAACCATGATTTATATTATTTATCATATTTATATCTTTCTTATGGTTAATTGTTAGTTTTATTTTTTGAAAAACTAAATCTTAAAGATATAGGAATGGGTAAACCCATGTATTAGCTAAAGAATGCCCATTAGAATGGTCATTCCTTCCTAAAACTATACCAATCATAGGATTAAGATAGGAATGGATAAGGAAATCATCATTCCATTCTTATGTCATTCCTTCATAACAATTATATATCATATATGTTCTCCATATTTAAACCTTTCATCCACACTCCATAAAACAAAAGTTGGGAATCCTACCTCTAGGGCACATCACAATTAAGATGGAGTAGGTATTATATTTATAGTACCTACAGACTTTCAAGGTTGTACAGGAAAGAAATAAAACTTCAACTTCAACGGTTCCAACACCCACATTAACTCGAGCACTCTACAGTTTCTTGTTTCGAGTGGATGTTGCATTCTCCTAGTTTTTTAAGTGTACAATTCATTTAGCATGGTTTGCTCCAGGGAAAGCCCTCTAAGTAACCTTATTCTATCAACCACAAGCCATGCACTAGCTTCTATATTTTTACGTAGCATAAGCCCCATAAAGTAAAACAAATTAAATTTCCCAATCCCGAACCTGTAACATTGTTTATAATTTCTTGATTCAGGGTCCTTTAACACATAAAGCAATGGTCCAACTACACAAAAATATCTCCTTTGCCATACTGCATCTCTACCTCCAACGCCCTAAAACAAAAGGATGCAACCAAAAATATGAGACTACAAAAAACAGGCAATTAACAGCAAAATCTTCTCCATATTAGGTCATTCAGAAACAAACGAAAACAGACAAGTCACCTTCCGTGCCAGCTGATACAGCCAGCCTGAGAAATCAGCTTCATCCCAAGGACGGACAAGATCAGGATGGTCAGCATCATCCCCTTGAAAAAGTTTAACAACTTGCATTAAGCGATGATAACGAGATGGAGAAAAATGAATCCCTATGGAAGGTAACCGCATGGCAAGCCTTGTTGACGGGAAAGAGGCAACTGGTGATATAATCTGAAAAGCAAAAAGGAATTTGTAAAATCTTGACTGTATGACTATAATAGACACCTGAATGCTCTATTGAACTCAAATTAGAGTGGATAATGATTACCTGCTGAAGCTTTAGAAATACTGCACATCTGTCGATAACTGGTAGGTAGCTGACAAAGGCAGCCTCCAATGAACCATCAGGTCTCTTTAAAGAAGCTTGGTTCCAGCGATAATCACCATCAACCAGAAAAGCCGATACATCTCTCAAAACCAAATCAAATTGCGAATACACATTCATCTCTTCAGGTGTAACATATTCAGCATTATCCTGAACATATTGCTCTGAAGTGAAATACATTGCAACCAAAAGAATCAAAATGAGCAATCTCAAAGCTCTGGAAATCTACCTGAGAACGTATCACTAACTTTCCCAAGTCTATCAGAAGCCTGGTAGGGTGGACACCATCAGGAGAGAATTCGGTGGGAATAGTTATTTTGGGCGCCGCAATATCCAAGTCCAAGAAAAACCTAGGCCAAACATTAATATACAATGATCGACGTTACGGAACACTAACTCATTAAGTAGTTTACTACATATTCTAAACCAAAACAGTACCATTCGGGAACATGACATCTATTTTGGAATTTTACAGGAGTTACACTAGCTTCATTTTTCTAGCCAAAACAGCATCATATTGGCAGATCTTCAGTCCAGAAGAAACTATTCATTATAGCCAAACATCCATAAGAAACTACCCGTTGTCCCACAATGGCACACTATGTTATATCACTAACATCAAAAAGAGACTTGTTTGTTATCATCAAAGTCCTTGTTCTTCCAACTATATCGACCTAACATATTTGTAGGGACAACCATCCTCATACGATATTGACCTGTCCTCAAGACAACCTAAAATCAACAGCAAAATATCTGGATGAAAACTTGGATTCACCCACACAAGGTCAAGGGCGGTTAAAAGACTGAAGACCAAATAATCTGTGTGTGCCTGCACATAACATATCACCAAGAGAAAGAATATGTGGATTCTATCTTACCTGTCAAAAGTGGGAAGTTTACCCAAAACCACCAATCAAGTCAAATATTTTTAGCTTTTATTGGTACTGGACCTTCCTAATAACTTTAAAAAAGAGGACAAGGATTAGACTTCAATGAGAACAAGTCATAGAATTATCTGCATGGAAAAGCATGAAGAACCCAACCTGAATCAAGGAGTGACACCTAGTACTTCTTCTATTTAAAGGCTTGATGTAAAATCATAAAATAATAAGAAAAAAGAAATTACTTCTCTCCGTTTTTCCTCCTCATTTTTCTTCTATTTTTTTTTTCACACTAATCAACTTAAGGCATGGGCTAAGGCTTCTAAAAGGCATAAAGTCATTCAACCCAAGAACACAAAAGTCAACAGCATACATGATACAAGCAGTCCAAGACATCATAGCCAACCCTGCTCAATCTACAATGAAACCATCAAAGTTCAGAATAATGAAAAGTACCTAGCACGCTCCTTCAATGCTCTGTTCACTTGTTTCGTCGCTGTGCGTTTGACTTCATCAATTGTCATCTAAAAATTGTATACATTAAACAAGAAACGCGAGGCAATTACTATAGAAGCCTTTCCAATAAAATGCTGCAGTATACTACGATAGAGGGAAAGTGAGAATTTATTGGCTGGACATTAGCTACTACAGAGAACTTCAAACTGAGCAAAACGAAGATAAGATGCGACTAAAACATATGAGTCTGGCAATACTCAAGGTCAATATTGTATACAGATTACAAGGAAAATCTCAGCAAAACTCCAATATGAATTGAAGCTACATAGAACTTAAATGCGAAAAGGTTAAGAGCGGGCAATACATCATGCATATGAAAACTCCGAGAGGTAGTTGCAAACAGATTTTATATGTAAAGAACACAAGCTGTTTCTGCAAATTATAAGTTGAAAGTGGTAAATAAGAAATGAAAATCAAAGCCTTGGGTCTACCTAAGTGCACAAGATAGAAAATAGGTGATGTCTGTGTCTCTATTCACACACACACACACACACACACAGAGTGAGAGACTACCCCAGAGAATGACAATCAATATTACAGTGAAAGAGATCATTTTAGCTGCAATAAAATGGCCAACAAGAGGCCCTAATGAGGGGTGTAGATACAATGCGGCACAAAGATATGCTCCATATGTTGAAGGAAATGCTAATGGCAGCATCATATGTGATTTGAAAAGGAAATTAAATTAGTTGCTACTGACTCATTTGAATTACAAAAAAATCATGGCACCTTTATTCGCATAACTCGGACTGAATAACTATTCCAGCCTTGGGCACAGAAGTAGTGAAAAGTTAGTGTTACATGGGTTATACGTTCTATTTCTAAAGATTAACCTCCGTATTAATTTGGTGACATCAACATATTCAAACTGTCACCCTCTCGCCTACTCCCCTCACAAACAACCCTTCGAACCCAATGCTTAGTTCCTTAGCACTAAATTGGATTGTTGGACTTACCAGGTTATTAGCCAGGAGTCTATCTATTTAACCACAGGAAATACTTGTTATCCATGATACAGCAATATTAAATCTGCACAGATCTACCAATGGAAGAATGGAAAAGGAAATAATAATTATAGCTCAACAAGGGCGAGGGACAAACTTGAACTGCAGAAGCCGTTTCCCGAACAAGAGTCTCGCTTACAGTCGCACTACTTTCAAAGAAGTCGATGATTTGATTAATGGAATCCTTCAAATACTGAACAAAGAAAAAAAAAATATTCAGATTCATTAATAGACGCAATTTAGATAAACAACATCACAGCATCTTACAGTCACATAACAGGGTGAAGCTTTAGCAACCAGGCTCCAGTCCACATCCATATCAAGCGGTTTATAGCAGAACACAGCAACCAATGAATTAGAAACAATTTCGCTCTGCATAATAAGTTTGTACAAGAGAATGCATCAAAAATATCGACGTGGGTGGACAAATAAATAGGTAGATTCTAGATATATATAGATATACAAAGTGGGGGTGGGGGGCGCCATACCACAGCAAGAAGACCATTCGGGGACAGTAGTCTGTATGATCCCAATTTTATATCGACAATTTTTGCTTCTGGATACAGGTTTATGCAACACTCAAGATTATCGCAGGATAAGTCAGCAAGGCACTCCTGGGAGTCAGTTAGCTTCGATGCATTATGCTTCATGTGAAGGCTCAATGAAATATATGGCAAATTCCCATCGCCATGGGTCAGTAATTGTTCATCATCACCTTCCTTGTACCCAATAATATCATTCAATCTCTTCCAATCTTCCTCAGTCAGAGTACCAGGTTCATTTTCATCTTTGCTAGTTTGAGTAGTCCTGCAACACAATCACAAATGTATCAGGAATATGTTGCGCTCCTGAAGAAGTCGTGTGAGCAAAAATATATGACTGCAAGGTAGAATAGGTCACCGTCCAAATGGCCACCATGATTTCTTGGCCTTTTGCTCTTTTAGGAATTTTTCTGATCCCAATGATTGCTCCACAACTTTATGGGCCAACATCCTGTTCGAATGAATTAATTTATCAATTAAATACATTGAGGCACACCACAGAAATTAAATCATTTCTGCAGTAGATCTAGCAATCACGTCTGACAAAATGTAACGTTAGCTGAAGAAAGTAAACAACCTACTGTCCGCCTTATCCCATAAAGACATTCTTGTGGATGAAGAAAGTTTTAAGAGAACAAATAAAAAAAAAAAAAAAACAGAGAGGACATCTATCTAAAGAAAGAGATATCGCTCTCATGATAAGTGAGTAAGGAAACAAAAGGCCACATTAATAATTCTAGTCCTTTAAGCTCCTGATAGCATGAACTACAGACATCTCATGCCATCAGTGTTGAATTCTAAAAACATATTTTATGTGATCCAGCAAATAAGGAAAAGAAAATCGCAAACACATACATAAGCATCATGCCATTTTGAACAAAAGTAATACACCCTCCCCAGGTTCCCAAAATGGCATACAGAGCACATAACTAATATAGACTCATCTAGAGCATATCAAACCCATAACTAAAACAGACATATCAATAACTTTTATACCTCCATTGAACAATAACTTCTATATCAAGTTCCCGGTCAAGTTCTTCTATTTCTTCATTGTCATCAACTACAGCACGGTTAATATCTGATTTGAGCAGCGCAGCATACAGAGAGATGTATCTCTTACGCAATTTAGCATATCGCAGGACTTGCTCCCACGACAACATTCCACTAGCAAGGATAACAACATAAGAGAGATCAATATGGAACAGTTCCCAATAACACTTCTAAAAGAAGGGGGAAAGGAGACTTTGTGGCAAACAACAGGATTTCAACATACAACATTATTCCACATGACAAGGTTCACTCCAGCACTAATATATATATATATATATATATATATACATATACGTGTGTGTGTGTGTGTAAGGAGAATAAACACCCAAAAAAAAAAAGTAATTTAGATCAACACTTAAAAGTCAAAACCCAGGAGAAAAGAAAGATAGAAAGAAAGAAGTACTGTAATTGTTAGCATACAGAGACTCATTCAAATAGAACTTATTCATATTGGACCTCAAAGCCATAATACAAAAGCCAAAATACAAAGTAAATATCAGTAAGAAATGTGAGGCTCCGAAAACCAAAGATAACCTAAATATAGAGCAAATATTTTCATGATCATACAAATATTTACTGACGTTTATATGATCCCCTTTGATCCACATGTGGATATTACATCCATCTTGTGAGATCCATCCAACCTTCTTAGAGACTCGCTGTTCATGTTGTATCCTAGCTGCCCAAATTTGCCAAATCTAGATATCTTCTGGTTTTGGATTTTCTTCTTGATCTTTTCTTTTGACTCAATATTTCATCTAGAACGATGGGGTCAGAACAGATTTGGTTGAAGTATTGGCCAAGATCTATCTCTTAGTGTCAACACTATAACATGCCACAATCGGAAAGTCTAATCGCACAAGCTAACTATTCACACGTCTGGTCAAAAAGATAATATATGTACAAAGAAATGACTAGGTAGGAACCTGGCCTTCTTCTTTTTATCCATAACTGCCCTGAACGCATACTTCCACCAAGATCTCGGATCACTTTTTACAGTCAAATGTGGACGATAGTGAGCATAATATAGTCTCTGATTGAAGGCAGTGAAATTATCAGCTAATTTCAACAAGTCGTGGTACCCAGCCTACAGATTAAACACAAAATATGTGGTAAGGCAATTACAATGAATAACAAGGCAAGGCAGACCTGGAGAAACTAAATAGGAAGCCAATACCAACTTTTGACAAGCACAGAGTCACATCATCCAGATTTACTGCAGCATTCTGCAGTGGTTGACCTTTTCTTCTTGATGCATCAGAACGCTCCTTCGAATACTTAGCATTTCCACTTACTGGTTCCAAAACATATGAGTGCTTTCCCAAATTATCAGCTGCAGGTTTCCCACCTTTTGTACCAAATTCAAAAATCTAGAACCCATACATTAGCTTGAAGGTTTTTAGTTAATATAAGCAACTAATGTTAAACAAAAAGCTCAAATACCTGTCCCCATTCGGATGGTGACAAGTCCTCCCACGCTTTTTCAATGTGCCATGGACTTACATCAGAATCCAGATAGATAGCCATTCGTTCAAGTTGCACAGACTAGAAAATGTCATGGAAACAAAATGTAAAACTTCAATGGACTAGATAAGAGAAACAAGTTCGCAGCAGCTCATTAATGTTTTCGTCAAGCTATCAACTAAGAAAAGGTTGTTATTAACAGACAAACAACAGTACCGCTCTGGCCTATCATTGACAACCAATGGGACAATCTATCTCGTGGAAGAATAAGAGAGGACAAACCCCATCGGATACCACATCATGATTGATGCCGACGAGATTGCATTAGCATATCTCGACAAATATGATCGACTCGTTTCATTAGTTTGAATGTTATTCCGTTTCTTATTATTATTATTTATATTTATGTTGTGTTGGGCTTGTATTATGTGGGCTTTTAAGTTTAGGTGGTTAGGACTTTGTATTGGTATTAAAACGTACGAGTTATGTATTATTGAAATTGAAAAGAAAAGAAAGACGGTTTCTTTTACAGAGAAGAGAACTTCTCTTTACACATTCAATCTTCCATCACGCTGCTGCATCAATGATCAAGAAAGTTTAACACAAAACTTTGTAAATATTAATACAAGTATGTACATCATCCACAGCACATTAACAGAAACATAGCAAGACTAGTAAGGCAACAAGAATTCTTGAAAGTCAAACCATCCAGGTCTACTTGAATATAAAATGCTTTTCAAAATGTTTGTTGACAGGGACAAACCCAGGTAAACCATTTAGTTATGAATGGCTGGAAAAATTATGGATTGGGGTCATAGTGCCACCAAAGATTTTTATGTCGATGAACCCATAATGTCATCATAGATTTTATTCTGGACCAAATATCAAGGCCAAACTCGTCATTATTATCAAATATTGTCATATTCTATTCCAGCCAGATCAACCAACATAGAATAAGATGACATTCTACCTAATGTCTTGCCCTTGCAAGTTGCAGCACAGATAGCACACAAGATAATGGAAAATAGCCTGGAACAGCAACCTGGATGGATCAAAACAAGGCCAAGCACAAATAGAACACAGTATGTGCATGTATTTGCTAATGCAAAATTAGTAACTCAGGGTCTCCATGCTGGACCAAGATAGTTTCTTGGAACAACACTGACATACAATAACTCGTCTATTTGTCACTGTTGTGGGTGTAGTCTCTAGGAAAACACTGACTTGGCATACGACCGACTAGATATGAACTTAATCTTGAAAAAGGCATTCAGATAATACACACACAGAAAACCAGCTCATTGGATTTCAGGTAAGACACCAGAATCATAAATTTATAAAGGAACAATCTAACAGCAAAACCCAAAAAAGAACAGACTGAGAGCTAAAAAAATTAAAAAAATAAATAAATAAATAAAATAAAAACCAAAAAAGAAAAGGTGAATAAAACAAGAATTTGAAAGGACACAGAATGAAAGAAAACAAAACAGTTGAAGATGTAAGAAGAAAGAAATATGAAACAATGGAACATAAAATCGTAACAGTGACCACCATACACAACCATGCGCCAAATACTTCAGGAATACAATACCAAAAAAGAAAAAAGCATCACAGAAATTATACAAGTGTACGAACCTTCTGGATTCGGTCCAATGCACCTCCAGTTATAAAAGTTTCCTCCCCATTATCATCAACTGTAAATGCTGAGAGTTTATCCAACATCACACCAGCTGCAAATGCGTGGCCTGGATTACTGAAAAAAACATTGTTTCAAGAGTAACCAATTAGAGGATACAGGAGAATGGTAAAGGGGAAAGACAACGATCCAGGGATGGCAAGGCAATCAAAGCATCCAAAACTTGTGTACCTCTCAATATCTTCGTATCTGATGTGGATGTTTGAAATAGAAAGCTTTAAATTCCCAATCACCGTATTGATTAAAGACCCGATCCAAGACTTGTTCTTCGAGAAAAAAAAAATAAAAGCAAAGACTAGGTGGTTAAATCATGATCGTATTATAAAGAAAAAAGCTTGAATAACAGTATCTTTGTTTAAAATATGACCATCATTGGCTCCATGTCAACAACTAAAATTAGCACAACAGTAGATAGCAGATATTATCATATAATACTGACCAGCATTAGCTAAGAATGAGAAGGTATAAACAGAAAATCAAAAACAAAATTATCTAGAAAGCAAAGAGCCCGCATGTGATCCCAGAAAAAAAAACTAAAGATAGCTAGACATATCCATCCCTCCCTCCCTCCCTCCCTCCCTCAGTAGACAGGAACTAGGTTACTAGAGTTCTTCCATGAGTTGCAGCTTCAGATTCCATGATGCAGTATGTTAGAAGTTATGTTTGTCCCACATTAATTAGTAAATGGGTTGTAATTTTGTATAAACATGGGTTAGAAACCATCTCCCTTTGAGCTAACTTTTGGGGATGAGTCTATCAAGCCCATTTCTCGTGGTATCAGAGCATCCAGGTTTTGTTTGGTTGGAGGTAATGTTTTGTTTGGACCCAACCCATTTAGTTTTGGCAAGCTATGCTTGATGGCCAGTGTTAGAAGTTATGTTTGTCCGACATCGATTAGTCATTAGGGTTGTTATTGTGTATAAACGTGGGTTGGGCACTCTACCTTTAAGCTAGCTTTGAGGGATGAGTTCCACTACAAATACCTCATAAAAAGTGGAAAAACAATCTTCTTAGAGCACCCACAATGCATTGGGTCTAGTTTTACATATGTGGCATATAAATGGACTTAAGTCCTAAATGACATGGACAAACCCAAGTAAAAAAACTCAAAAGCTATTCAATGCAAAAAATAAATTACTAGATCTAGCATACATGCCAACCAATAAAATGCTCTAATATGTTTCCTTTATTAAAAGAAAAATTAAATTAGGAATAAATGATGAGTGTTTAGGTTTGTACTTGGGTCCAAAATAAACTCAAGTGTGGACTTAGTCTCTTTTTTTTATTGCCACATAAGCTAGACCATTGTCCACTTTTAATTGCATTGGGAGGCATTTTTTTATAGACTAAGTCTATTTCCTACGTGGCATATGATATTTTATTAAGAGACCCAATGCATTGTGGGTGCTCTTACGTTGCAAGTCCCTTTCTCAAAATCAGAAGCTTTGCCATTTAGAAATACAGATAACTTGGGCTAACAATTGGTGCCTCTTCATCTAACATTTTATATGCACAACAATGAGGACATTATATTCGTTACATTGGTACTGAGTAATAATAAGACATACCATTTCCGAATTCAGGAGCTGTTGGCTCTCCAACAACTTCATTTCCATTTCCTTTCAAAGACAATTATAAATTTTACTATTAAAAAAAACTGAGGAAAGGCCAATGAAGAATTTAAAGGAAAACCATACTCGTATTCGATTCTTTTTAACTTCTTGGATGGAGTCCTCTGTAGATCCTTCAACCTGTGTTGAAGGCTCAGCCAATAAAAAGATACGATCCAGATAAACCAGAACAGGATCTTGGCCAAGCCTGCTCCATGGAACCTGTTATGAAGGGAAGTAGATAGAAATAAACATTAAAAGCAAATTTCACATCACGAATTGAATACATGTAACCCGGATATCTTTTAGGTTGTTCCATAAAGCCTTGTATCATTAATTCACGGAAAAAAAAAAAATAATAATAATAATAATAATAATAATAATAATAATAAAAAGAAGAAGAAAAATATCAATTGGCCCCTGATTTCTTTACTATGACATTGCAAATTTTGAAAATAACATTTTTCATCATTCCATAATGCAGGTCATGAGATTCAACTAGATATCAGAATTGTAACTCAGATTCTGCCAAACCTCTTATATTTAATTGCTTTAGTGTAGCGCTCATTTTATAGGGTCAACATGAAGTACATGCACAGTCGAATCAGTTTCTCATGATTGGCAATTACCTATCAAGACAAACAAGCGTCTTAAAGAACACTACCACATAATCTCCTTGCTCCCACAGCTATAATTCACACACACAAGTCACAACCAATCCAAATGAGTTACAAGAAGATGAAGAAGTTCTTGAAGTTATTGACCTAGTACTAAGTAGTAACTATAAGGACGCCAGTAACCAATATGTGGAAAAATTGTTCAGCACATACATGATTACCCGACATATATCAGCATAATGAAGACAACAAACAGGTCAGCCAATTCAAGTTCAAAATTGCACATTTCAGCTATAGTAAGATATGACTACATATAAGCAAAGCAAGTTACTGAACCACAAACCTTAAGCTTCACTGATCCCAGAAAACCTGCCTTAACCTTCACTGGTAATTTCAATGCATTTAGTGCCTCGGGTTTCAGTTGCATATTTGTTAATTCTACATCACCTGACGAGCATTCATAAAGAATCAATGAAATAATCATAGTTTAATGTGCACAGTACAAAAAGAATGTGTTTCAATGTACAACATATGTAATATAAACAGATACCAGGGATTTCAACATTAGTTCTTCATGCTTTTAATTTAACAAGTTTTATTATGTTTCAGGAATCAATTGTAATAAAAATCACTAAGTAAACATATAAAGCAGACTTCTTAACTTTTCCGCAATTCATAGTCAATAATTCAATATCCACTAAGGTTAGGACTTCAAAATCATCAACCATTAGTTACACAATATTCACAAACACTGCAGACTCATCCACAGGTTTCTGAAGATACGAATAATCTGACAAATTTCCATGTGACATTAGACTCATTCCCAC